GTATTTTTAACGCTAATTTTCAAAGGTCTCCACTGAAAAGCTATCACTTTTCACGTTTCCATGCCATCGGCTTTTTGCCGGTTTTCCGGAAATGTACTCCGGCCGGTGCAACCGGATCCATTTCGGCCGGGTGAAATCATTTTCGCGCAATCCGATACTCCTCGAATTTCCCTATTTCACACTTTTGTTTTTTTTGGGGTGAATTCATCCGCCCTGCGCTGGATTTTGTAGTGTGGTTTGTAGCCTAGAGACTACAGCTGAGCTCACGCTAGCAGAAGTTATTCAGGAAGTGATGGCTGGGATTTTAGGGCCCTATTGTCGGAGTTTTAGGGCAAGCTAGCAGAGATTCTTTGAGAAATTTACTACCGGAAATTCGGCGTAAGCCCAAGGTTTTTGTCGGGCATGCTAGCAGAGATTCTTTAGGAATTCATTCCTGAAAAGATAGTCTTTTGGCAAGGGCAAGCAAGCAAAGATCCTTTAGTAAACCTCTTCTGTAAATTTTAGGTCAATGACAACTTGACGCTTCGGGCAAACTAGCAGCGATTCTTTGGGAGTTCGTATCTGAAGATTCTGCGTCAACTTTTGGCCAGCTAGCAGCATCGGTTTTGGAATTTGTTCAAGGAGTTGGATTTTAAGCCCGAAGCCAACTAGCAGAGACACATTTTTGGATTTTTAAGGGCAAGCTAGCAGCGATCTTTTAGGAATCCCCTGGCCACCTCGTAAAGATCTTTGAGAGCTCCAAAATTGTCTGCCGGAATTTGATCAAGACAGTCTAGCATGGATCCTTGGGGAATTCGCAGCGCACGCTACAGAATTCCGCGAAAACAACGCCTTGTTTTGACGCCTAATCTGGTCACCAGTTTTTTCCCCGATCAAAATCATTAATCAGTTGCTTGTAGTCGAGTTCAGAGAGGGGGGAAAAGCCCCCCCCCCCCAAGGGGGATGTTTGATCGTCGGCGGCGTCCGTTTTACACCAAAAGACGACCCGTGGCCCGTGGTTGACCTGTAGAAAAGGGACGCTTTGATGACGTCATCTAGAGGCTGCAGTTACCGGCAAGCCGCTTTTCCCAGAAAATTGCCAAAAAATGATGGGCCGATGAGTTGTCATGTTTCTACCTTGCAAAAGCGGGGCGATTTGGGCTTTGAACTGTGGAATACGGCAGACGTGAAGTTTGTAGCCTATGAAATCAGGGTTTAAAGGGGCTAGAAAGGTACGTGCACGTGTATAAACCTCCCAGATTCTGATCCTAAAATATCTTTGCTAGCTAACCCTCCGATTCCACAAAGATCTTTGCTAGCTAGCCCTCTAACTCCTAAAAAATCTTCTGCTAGTCAGTCTAAATTTTTAACGCTAGCCTGGCGCTTCCATACATTGAAATTCCTCAAAGAATCTCTGCTAGCCTGCCCCCTCGATCCCCTCCAATTCCTCAAAGAATCTCTGCTAGCCTGCCCCCTCGATCCCCTCCAATTCCTCAAAGACTCTCTGCTAGTCTGCCTCCTCCACCCACTCCAACTCCGCAAAGAATCTCTGCTAGCCTGTCCCTTTCATCCCCTTCAACCGGCTGTTTGCTAGCTGACCCTCGATTTATAAAAAATCATTGCTCCAAGGGCCTCCGATTCCTAAAGGCGCTTTGCTAGCTTGCCATCCTCCGATTCCTAAAAATCTTTGCTAGCCTGCCTTGCTTTAAAGATTCTCAGCTAGCTTGCCCCTTTCTAATGGATTTTTGCTAGCCGATCCTGAGGAAATGATTGTAAGCAAACGAGTTTTTCCATTGTCCGACGCTAGGCAATTGACCCCCAGTGGTCTGCGGCGACATTCCGTCTGGCTACTTGGGTTACGGTATCCCTTTTTCTCGGTCGGGTCAGCGCCATAGGTGTGCTGGGTGCAAGAGAAGGAGGACAGGATAGGATAGGAGGAGGAGGGCTGCTGCTGCTGCTGGGATGTGCGTCATTCTCTTTGAGGGCCGTCTTCTCCGCCCAGCCACACGAACTCGAGCTGGGACGAGAGAGAGGCGGAGAGAGAGCGAGAGAGAGAGAGAGAGAGAGAGAGAGAGGGAGGACCCGAATTTTTTGCGAGCTGTGAGAAGCGAAATCCCGCCCCTTTTGGACCCGCGTTCCACCCATCCGGGCCGCCGGCTCAGATTTTGGCCCCTGCCCCCTCCCCGTCGACCGGTTCACCGGTCATTTCCGGTCCGGAAAAATTCTGGGAAGGCTTTTGGCCGGAGGGGTCAAACCTACCGTATTTTTCTGAATTTCTGGAGCTAGAATTCGTTAATGTAGCTTCCAAACGGAACGAAAACTGTCTGATTCTTTAAATTGTCATCTTGTTCTCACTCTCGCCCTCTCTCGCTTTCTCTCTATCTCTCTATCTCGCTCTCCCTCTCTCTCTCTCTCTCTCTCTCTCTCTCTATCTTTCTTTCTTTCTTTCTTTCTTTCTTTCTCTCTTCCTATCTCTCTCACGCTTCCGAAACTCTCGAAGGAAATTATTCAAGCAAATAACCTCGATGTCATTTTGGACTCTATTGAATTTTGCCTTGCTGGCCCCTTTAAAGTCAGGCTGCGGCCTTCCCCAATTCCCCAATTTCGGCGATTCCCCAAGGAAATCTGCTAGTTTGCCTTCAAGCTCTCTTACGTAGTTTTAAAGGGGTCTTGGAGTCAACTGATCTATAGATTATCCGGATTCCAAGCACCTTTAGACCAAAATCTCGGACAAATGGTCTCTGTTAGCTTGCCCTACATAATTTCGTACTGGAAGAAATTGAGTTGTTTGCTTCAATGTACCTTTAAAGGACCTGGGAAGTGAAAAATCTTGTGGAAACCTGGCTTCTCAGTGTCTTTAACATAAAAAATAAGGGGAATGATCTCTGCTAGCTTGCCCTGCAACTCGATACGCATAAATGTGGTTTTTCAGTTCCATGTGCCTTTAAAGGGCTGGGAAGTCAAAATTTTGTTAAAACCTGGCTTCCGCGTGGCTTTAGGGTAAAAAATGAGGCCAATGATCTCTGCTAGCTTGCTCTGCACCTACTAGTATTTCAAAAACTTGTTTCTTACGGAAGTTTATTCACTTCCAAGGCCCTTTAAAGGGACGCGGAAGCGATAGTTGCTCGAGTCACTCGAGGCACTCGGAGCCTTTTTATGTTTTGGTGTGTTTTATAATGAGTTTAGCGTAACTCTTAGGGTTTGCAGAAACTCATTTTACCAACTTTGAGCGGTCAAAAACCCCCGGTGGATACCTGAACTTTTGACAAGGCCTTCAAACCCCCGAGAGGAACTGTGAAAAAACGGGGGTCATAAATGGCCATAGCCCTCCACTCGTCGAATCAAGATAACACCCCCCTTGGCTTTCTCTTACGTAGGTGGGGCGAATGCGATATATTTTCGGATGCGCCCTCCTCTGCTCCTTGATTTTTGCGAGGCACGCGACTTCGGAATTTTGAAGGATCAGAATTTTTAATGAAGAAGCTTTTTTGGACTTCTTTTTAATGTCTAAGGCTCAGAAAACGCCACAAAATCGTCGTTTCGGCCTGACGTGATTTAAAAATAATATATTGCTCATTCTTAAAGCAAAAAATTGCGAATAAGCTAAAGTTTTGAAAAAACCGAAATAGAGCACGGTACTTTAGAAAAAAAGACAATTTTATAGCGTAACTGTTAGGATTTCCTGCGGACTTCAAAGCCGTTTATTTAATATCGTAATCGAATCCTCGAATTTTCCGCCACTCATTTTTGCGCAAGGCTTTCAAAAAAAACCGGAAGAAATCAGTCCGGTAAACAACAAAAAAGGCAATTTAGCGGCGTAACTGGCCGGAGATTTTGAGAATACGCTATTTTACGCTATTCCAGCAATTCAATTAATGCCGTAATTAGTTGGATTCCAACTTTTAACACTTTTTTAAATTGGGTTATGCTCAAAAATGCTTTTCGCTCAGCTCCCAGCATTTCCGCTACCTGTCAGGCCCCCTTTAAACGCTAAAAGTTGCATCTACAACCTTACTAATCTACTTAAAACCAATTTTTAATATAATTATAGCCATAAACGACGTTTATTAAGAAGAAAATCAAGCAAAAACAACATTTAATAGTACTTAAAATTCCGCAAAGTCGTGCGGCTTTGGTTTTTGGAAATTGGAACTGGCTAGGCTATTTGTTTCCCCCTGCTAAAAAGTGCATAAACACATGCGTGCACCCTGTTGTTTGCCCCGCCCCAATTTTCGTGATCAGATGCTGATCCTCCGCCTCTCACACCTCGTGCTCCTGCTCCTCCTCACACACCTGTTGGCCCGTTCTCTCTCTCTCTCTCTCTCTCTCTCTCTCTCTCTCTCTGTCTCTCTCTCTGTCTCTCTCTCGCTCTCATTGGCACCTATTGATGTTTTGTTTTCCGCCCTCAAATTCCTCGGCTACGCCACACGCCAAAGGACGCAGAGGCCTAATTAGCATAATTCGTTGTTTGTTTTGTTTTATCAGGTTTTGGGATTGGAATTCATAGCATTTTTTTAGATTTTCAAGTTATTTGGTTGTGAAAGTACCGTAATTTATATTTTCCAACTTTGAAACTTCACTTAACTTTTTCTATAAAAAATTAGGTTAAACAAAGTATTTTTAAAGTTCAAAAAACTCAACAATTTTTTCAGTATTTTGGTTTTTTCAAGCTTCAATGGCCCTTTAAAACTCAATTTCTCCAATTCCTGATCTATTCTAATTTATTCCAGTTTTTCCATGTCCTCAATCTCGCAATTTCCCCCTCAAAAATGACAAATGTCTTTCGTCAGAAGCCACCGCCTCGCCCACGTCGCCGCCACAAAACGTCGCGACGCTACAGCTTATGCAAATTGTGCGAGTGTTTTGAGGAGCAGCCGCCGGGAATCGCTCTCTATCTCTAGCCCTCTCTCGTTCTCTCTCCACGGGTTTCGGACATTCCGTTCCATTCCGCTAGACGACTATTGACACCCCATTTACGGCACCGGATTTTCGGACGCGGTTTCTGAGAATTTCGAGCAACAATGTGTCTCCCGCGGCTCATCTATGATGATGTGAGTTTTGGAAAATATGGTAATCGGCTAGTAAGACCAAGCATCTCTGCCAATTTGCTCTAGCGAGACACGCTAGCGGAGATGATTTGCGGAAAATATCTCTCAATTCGGTCCTAAAGAATCTCTGCTAGCTTGCCCCTCCATATGGTAGGCTAGCAGCGACGCTTTGCGGAAAAAAATCGATCTGAGTTCTGCTCTCAAGGATCTCTGCTAGTTTCCCTCTAGTAGATTGACAGGCTAGCAGTGAGTATTTGCAGCAAATACAGCCGATTTCTGTCCTCGTGAAAATCTGCTAGCCTGCCCAGCGAAGTGGCAAGCTAGCAGTGATTATTTGCGGAAAAGCAGTTTTATTCTTTCCGTAAAGAATCGCTGCTAGGCTGCCCGATAGAAATGATAAGTCAGTAAAGGCATTTGCGTACAAAACAGCAAATTTTTGTCCTCAATAATCTCTGCCAACCTGCCTCCAGTAAATTGGCAGGCTAGCAGCGATTATTTGCCAAATACAGCCGATTTCCGTCCCAAAGAATCTCTGCTAGCCTGCCCCCCCCAAGGGCAGGCTAGCAGTGACGCTTTGCGGAACAGGCCGCCCGATCTATTCTCATCCGAAAGCTATTTTTACCATCCATTTACGCAGGCATTCCGGAAATTTCTCTCACTCTCTCTCACTCTCTCTCGCTCTCTCGCCTCCAAGTAGACCCATCAATATCCCTCCCTCCCAACCGTCATTTCAGACTTTTCCTCCTGCCTAGGTCGGGGTGAGTGTCAGTTGTTCATTCGCGTCCTCATTCTCCTCCTCCCCCTTTGACCCGGCTTCTTCTCTTTAACAGGCCCACCGGAATAGCCACCGGAAATGGGGGCCGAATTTTTTGGACGCACCTCTCGCCCGGTCGACCCATCACCACCCTCTCACTCTGAGCCCCGGAAGGGCCGGGAAAAGCCGGGCTAGCAAGAAGACCGGAAATAACCGGACCGCACCGGAAATATTTGTGCCGGATAAAATGGCTGGCTGGCTTGGATTATAAAAACTAGTCGAGCAAGAAAACCACTGCAAATTAAGCTTAACCGAATCACTTAATTCGGTCAAGAAAACCGGAAAATAGGTGACAAAATAGGCGAAAATAGGTGCTTGCGGAATGTCAAAGTATGCCAAAATTGCTCCGAATTCTCGTCAATCAGCAAATTGAAATCAACGTATCAGACCGGCGCCAGGGAAAAGGAATTTTTAGCCGCTTAAAGCGCCTTGAAAGCGCGAGAATCTACCTTCTACGTTGACTAGATCTCGACAGCTACGCGATGCTCCAAATGTCGCAATTCATTCTTATTTTTGTGACGCCAGGGTCTCCGGCGCGTTTGGCTTAAAACCGATTGACAAGCGTATTTTGTAGCGTGGCGTAGTTATCGAGACCTAGTGGACGGAACAGGTCAATTCTCCCCGCTTCCCGGTTCCTTTAAACCAAAAAAAAGCGGCTTGATTCGTTGCTATGTTCGAGTCTTAAATAGTGCGACCTTGAGCAGTAACATCAAGCTCAAAAACGCGTTTGAGCACGAAAAAAAATACGGAAGGAGGACGGCCCAGAAAAAAATTTCAATAACTTAGATAAATTTCGATTTTAAACAAGACAAGCGATGGGTAAAAATCAGAAATGACGTATTGTTTTCGAAAATCCCAAATAATCCTTACTTTTCAGGTTCCCCCAAACTCCTCAACGCTCCTGCGTGAGCACCGTGCCGCGGCCACCATCCAGCATGCGTACCGGGGGCACCGTAAGCGCCAAGCGGCCGCCCGGAAGATCCAGAATTTCATGAGGCAGAGCCGGATCAAGTATGTTTAATTTTATTACCTAGTTCTTAACAAAAAAGAAGCTAATTTTACATATTTTCGAGTCAGAACCAATGGAAAATCGGGAAAATACCTTAAAAAATGTTCTAGCTTAAAAAACACGTTAAAAATTCGAAAAAATAGGAGAAAATCATTAGGACTATGCTTTCATTAATGCGCCTCCTTTAGAGGCTTTAAGCCACAAATAATAAAAATTCAAATTAGGTATATTTTCGGTTTCCGATATTTTTTAATCGATTTCTATGGGTTTAAAAGGAAAAAAGATTTGAAGCTGTGTTAGCTGCCCTTAATGCACAATTTCCAAAATTTAAAAGTCTGAGAAATCCCATCAAATCCCTGTTTAATCCAGTTACCACCACTGCAGCCAGGCAGCCGACGAGCCAGAGATGGTAATTAGCAAAATATATATCGTATTGTGGCTTACTGTATTGAGTATCGTATCGTAGTGAAATCTATATCGTATCGTGCATACCGTAATCTTGACCATAACCAGGATTATCGCGAATTTTCCAGACTTCGCAAAATGCACGAGCAAAGCGGCGTCGCGTGTACGATGGAGCCGGTGGGAACGGAGGGTGAGTTTCCTTTTTTCAGCGTCTATTTCTTTTTCTTGCTCTCTCTCTCTCTCTCTCTGTACTCCTCTCTCTCTCTCTCTCTCTCTCTCTCTCTCTCTCTCTCTCTCTCTCTCTCTCTCTCTCTCTCTCTCTCTCTCTCTCTCTCTCTCTCTCTTTCTGTCTTTTTCACTCGCTCTCTCACTTTGTCTCTCTCGATCACTCTCCCTCATTCTCTTTCTCTTTCAATCTCTCTCTCTCTCTCTCTCTCTCTCTCTCTCTCTCTCTCTCTCTTTCTCTCTCTATCTATCTCCCTTTCTGTCTTTTTCACTCGCTCTCTCGATCACTCTCCCTCATTCTCTTTCTCTCTCTCTCTCTCTCTCTCTCTCTCTCTCTCTCTCTCTCTCTCTAAAAATTTTGTTCAGCCCTTTTTAAGATGTTTGAGAAATCTCTTAATCTTTGAAATTCGTTTCAGATGGAGCGTTGTGCCTGCCGGGCAACCGTCCGTCGGTGCATCTGCCCACCGGGGTGGTATCTCATCATCAGATATCATCGAACAACAGCCACAACCACCACAACAATCATCATCACAACCCACACAACAACCATCACAGCCAACAGCAACAGTCAATTATGCTGAATACTACACAACACCAAATAGGTGAGTGAGTGAGAGAGGGAGAGAGTGAGAGGCAGACAGCAGAGATTCTTAGCGAAAAACTGCCAGAAATTGCTTTAAATAAACTATTTTTTTTTCAGCGACCTTCTCCACTACGACCCCGGCGTCCACGGGGCTCCAAATGACACCCAACTGCAATATGGTGGCCAACAACAGCAGCAACAGCAACACTACATCCCACAACAACAACACCCCCTCCACCACCACGGCGGCTATTCAACCGCCCACCCAACTGCAGCAACAAGTACAGCAGCAACAGCTGGCCCATCAAGGACCACTGCCCCCGATTCACACTATACAACCATCGACCAATGCCAGCAGCATGCGCCATGGGTACGATTTTGACTAATTACGACGGGTAAAGGGGCAATCTAGCAGAGATCATTTGGGAATGGAAGGGGCAGGCTAGCAGAGATCATTTGGGAATGGAAGGGGTAGGCTAGCAGAGATCATTTGGGAATGGAAGGGGCAGGCTAGCAGAGATCATTTGGGAATGGACGGGGCTGGCTAGCAGAGATCATTTGGGAATGGAAGGGGCAGGCTAGCAGCGATTCTTTGGGAATAGAAGGGGCAGGCTAGCAGAGATCATTTGGGAATGGAAGGGGCAGGCTAGCAGAGATCATTTGGGAACGGAAGGGGCAGGCTAGCAGAGATCATTTGGGAACGGAAGGGGCAGGCTAGCAGAGATCATTTGGGAACGGAAGGGGCAGGCTAGCAGAGATCATTTGGGAACGGAAGGGGCAGGCTAGCAGAGATCATTTGGGAACGGAAGGGGCAGGCTAGCAGAGGTCATTTGGGAATGGAAGCAGGCTAGCAAAGTTTCTTTGAGGAAACGGAACGATTCTGAGAGGCTAAATCCAAAATATATAATAAAACGTGCAATACCCCCCTATTTCCAGATGCTGAACGAGCCGCGCTAGGCCGTAGTGTTCATCTACCGCCCGGTCGGCTTCCCCAAAACGGGTCCACCCACCGAAAATGGGCCAAAATCCGCACCACGCCACCACACACCAAAAATCTCCTCCTCCCTCACCAATGAGCTCTAACTCATATCGTTTTTATCATTTGAATTTTATCTTCTATTAAAAGGCATTTTTCAAAATTCTACTTTTCAGGCTTCAGTTCTAAAATTTGGCCCAGTTACAGTAGTATAAACACCAAAAAAACTAAATCAAACCTAAGAAATACACCCCAAAATTACGAGTCAATATATATAATGAAGGCACCCCTACTGTATCATGTACTGTTAATAAATTCGTGTTTTTAATAAATATATACCATTAAATACCGTATGTAGAGAGCGCAAAAAAAGAAAAATAAATGCATAAAAATCCCGCCCGAATTAAATCCAGATTAAACGCTAAATTTAATTAGAAGCATTGTCGAGTTTCTACTCTTTCTCCACCTCAATTATTAAAGCGTAGACCCAGTTACGGTAGTCGAATTACCAAAAAGAAAAAATATAAAATCATTTCGTGTATTTTCGCAAATACCATCAAATACCGTATATTCGAGAGCGCAAAAAAAAAACAGAAACGAGAAAAACATACAAAAATCCGGGCTACAAGTACGGTAAGAGGGATGGGGAGGGGTTTAAAATTCAGCGACTTGAAATCACAGGCACACGTAGAATACAAATCCGAGACGAGGAGGTGGAGGAGTACAGGGCAATACAATGTACGTACAGTAGTGAAGAGTGGTGGGCAGAAAATTTTGTTTTGTCGTTTTGCTGTGTGAATTGAGTAGAGGGCGGCGGTGGTGAGAAGGTTGGAACTAAAAACGCGTAATAAAATTATGTAAACTTTTATATCACATTTTTATTACCGGAAAAAATGGAAAATAAAATTTCAGTTGATGCGTGGGAGGTCGAAAAAGTGGCAAAAGCGTTTTTCACAATTTTTTAACGTGCTTGGGACTGTTTTTGGATATTTCAAAGCCAAAAATCGGTACAGGTTGCTTAACGGGGGTGGAAAATTTTCTATTTACAAAAGTTACTATGCTGTTTTCGAAACGTCCTTTTTTCCAAAATAAACTAAATTAAAAACTAAGTAAAGTCATTTTCAATCCCGATTTGAATTTCCAGCGTGATTTAAACTGTTGAAAACTCAAAATATCGCCAGCAACAAAGTAAAGTCCAAAAACGAACCGGTTACTCTCGCCTCAACTGGTCCAGCCGGGCCTGCAGATCGTCGTCGATGTCGTGCCCCGCACCACCGGCCGCTCCGCCTCCGCTTCCGCCCGCCGCCACCGGCTGTCGTGCTGCAGCTGCTCCTGTTGCCGTGCCAATCTGAAAAAGAATTGATTTTGAAAGACCGTAAACCGGTTCTAACAGGTTCTAAAGGGCTTTTACTTCCTAGTTTTGAAAATCTAAAGTTAAAACGCTTTGTTCGAAAATGAAAATCTGAACGACAAATTGGAAAACATGTTAAAGCGCTGCACCACCCAAAAAACGTCAAGGGTCTCGTTAAAAAAGCTCACCTTTCCACCCGGGGCCGGCAGTCCGCCGAGTTCTTCGCCCATCTGGATGCCGAGCTCGTCGAGGATCTAAATAGGTGGATTTACAGCTCAGAAATAGGTTGAAAACTGCTCTCAAATTGCCAGTATATTTCGCGAATTTGATTCTCATTGCGCCAATGCAATTTCCACAATTACGGTGCACTTTCGAAACGATATAAATTTCGCTCAATTCTCAAAACCTTAGAGGCCAAAATATCCGAAAATATTCGCTTTTTGCTTGGTGTCTAAATTTGAAATGGCGAGATCCGCGAGAGAATAAAAAAGCTACAAACTACAAAAACAGCATTGTACTGGAAAACTTTGAGCTTTTTAAAAATAAATATACCTGATTAACGATGCCCTCGCTCTCCTCGTCGTCTTCCGCGTCCCCGAGCGCGTCATCAATCGCGTCGCCCATGATTTCTTCCTAGAAATTTTTGGCTTAAAAATCAAAAACTCATCCGTTTACCTTCATGTCCATGATTTCGCTCTGCTTCTCGAACTCCATCATGATCTGCTGGATTTGCGGGAGGTTCATCTACAAAAAGAAGGAAGTTCCGAACCTTCCTATTAACGAAAACCTGTTTGTTCATACTGCGCATCGCCTTCGTCACGCCCTTCATTGCCTGCGCCATCGCGTCCTGGCTCTTCAGCGTTTGCACTTTCAACGACACCGCCTAAAAATTGCATTCTAGCTATCGAAAAATCTTAAACCTGAATATTCGCCTTCATCACTATGAACTTCTTGATGTAGCGCCGCGTGCGGACGAGATCCTTGGCCATTACTTTCACCGAATCCTGCAAAAAATATGATAAAATCACCAAGACTTTCGCGAAATCGTAGAAGTTGTGGCTTTTTTACGACTTGGGATACCGAAAAACAGCGTAGAAACGCGTTCGCAATCAAAAATTTGAGAATTTTCGAAGGAAAAAGTGAAAGAACCAAATCCTGTTCAAGTTAAAGGGCTGCCGACGGCATGTGTCGATCCCCCTCCTCAACAAATTGGCAAGTAGCCAACAGGGGAGAGAGCGCGCATAGGGGAGAGGCGCAGAGACATTTCTTTTCCGCGCGTAACCGATTCACTATGCCGTCGGCATCCCTTTAAAATTTAAAGTCTCAGTTTGTAAAGTTTATATTAATCAACAAATTTTTACCATCTGGTTCATCTTGGCCATCTTCTTGATCTCGGCGATCACCTTCTTCTCCTGCATCTCCATGCGGCTCTTCTCGCGGTCGAGCTCGCGAATTGCCTATAAACTCTGAATTTAAGCCTCAAAAAAGATTCATACCTTGTTGAGGGCCCGCTGGTTTTGCCGGAGCAGCTCGGCGGGCGTCTTCCGGCGGCCGAACAGGAATTCCATGGTTCTCCCTGGAAATACCGAGATTTATCCGAGAAATTAGCAAAAAAGAGATACAGAAATGTACAGAAAAGTAGATGCGCCCATGGCCGGCCATGGCAAATAACCGAGGAAATCACCGCACAGGGGACCCGTCAAGATAGGAATTTCGTCAAATAGTAGGAGCAAATATTTACAAAGATAGGGGAAATTATATATTAAGTAGATATGATTATTATATCACTGCTTATTTGACTGATACTTACAGAGAAGTGGAAAAGGCCCTAAAAGTGGCAAGAAATGGGTAGAAACAACCGTGGATAACAGGATCCCGCTAAAATCACAAGTAGAGGAAAGAAGCCCCGTGAAGAAGAAGTAAAAACTGATGAAAATAGCAAATTCAGCTTTTGAACGTCAAATTATCGCCATTAAAACTAAGATTTGGCCCTTAAAATGTACATAAAAACATCGTTAAACCTTAAAAAGAAGTGAAAACTTTCTAAAAAGTAGCAAATTCAGCTTTTGATCGTTCAATTATTATTGTTATTCAAACTAAAATTTGGCCCTTAGAATATTCAAAAAGATGGCTAAACCATAAAAAATTAAAATTATGAAATTTCCTAGTAAAATTATCGAGACTAAAACTACGATTTTGCGGTTAAAAACGCATAAAAAGATCATTATCCGTTGAGATCGAGCCGCAACACATCAATCGTCGTCTCGTGGCACGGCCGTAGATTTTGCTCGTGGAATCCGATGGAATAACGGTCGAGCCGTTGAAAATAGTCGAGCCCGCGCCCTATCTTCACTATCCACCCATTGTCAAAGCGGATCTCCCGATCGTGAATCGTCGCCGAGTAGTTCACTTCGAGCTTCACCTTATATTTCGCGAGACTTTCCCGAATTCCGGCCAGCCCTTCCGCTCCTTGGCTCTTCTCTGCGGCGCCCGTCGTCAGTGATATCGTCTTGCAACTCGGCGCCCGGAGCACGACCAGCTCGCAGAAGCGCAGAAAGTTGATGATCTGGTGGTGGGCCGAGATGTAGGCGTCGAACACCTCGATCTTGGTCAGTCGATCGTTGAGGTAATCGCCGAAGATCCGGTCGTAGCCATGGCCCGTCGAGCCAGCGACGATACGGCGCTGCTTGGCCTCGATGACTTTGAGGCTTCGGCGCGGTTTTAGCTTCTCGGCGCGGTCGAGGCAGTCTTGGGCTCTGAAAAAAAGGATTTTGATGGGCTGAGCTTGATTCTAGAGATATTTTAAAAGATGCTTTGTCACACCTAGTTTAGTTAAGGGCTTTCAAAGTTTGACAAGACATCTAGCAATCCATAAAAAGCTAATTTTCATGATTTTTATTTTCTACAAACAAGAATCCGGCAAAAATCTTAAACGTTAACTTTTTTGGAGATTCCACCTTTTATAATTCGCTTTTTTAATTAAATCGATGGTTTCCAGAGCTTGTTCTCAAAATACACGGTTTAGCATCTGTTTTCAATCCCGAAAATTTGCAATTCTTTTTCACATCCGGATTGCCGGAACGCAAATTCGCCAGTTTTTTTAGAAAAGCACAAACGCACTTTGCTCGTATCGCCTCCCGCCGCGCGTCGCCCTCGGCCATCAGCCCGGACGCGGTGAGCAGCGCCTGCGCGCCGTCCATGTAGACGTCGGCCGCATCCTCGTGGCGGCCGTCCCGGTCCAGGTCGATCGCCCGCTTCATCAGCACCTTGGCCTTCTCGATCGACTGGTCGGCCGACATGGCTACCCTGAAAAAATGCTGATTCATTTTTCCATTTGCATTTCAAGGAAAAGAAAGAACGGTTCTCAAAATTCAATCAATAACTTTCAAAATCAATTTTTAACGCGCAGAGACCTCTGCAAGAAAATTCGTTGCATAAACGCCGATTTGAAAGAAAGATGAATGGCAATTCATATAATTCGACCGCTCGACCGCTCGACCGCTCGACCACTCGACCGCTCGACCGCTCGACCGCTCGACCGCTCGACCGCTTTTTCGTCTAACCGTTTAAATAAGCTTTATTAAAGCTAATATTACTAAATTGAGCTTTTTATTATTAAAATATACTTTAATTAGTATTTTAACGTATCAGGGAGTACTTTATCGTGAAACCTGGCTTGTAGGGGCCCCCAATACTCTTGTATCGGCGCTTTATCGCTCAGTTTTACCTTCGCTTTCATATATTAACAGATTTAGTATCGAAAAACTTTATTTAAAGCATATTCAATATTTTAGTAATATGTTTGTCTATATTAAACTGTTCTACGAGCGAGTTCTTTTCATTTGGAGCATTATTTACTAAAATCGTGTTTTCGTCGTATATTTCAGGCCTTTCCATTGTTAGATTTATCTATTCCTGCGGTAATAATTTTTAGTAGTAATTTCGGTATTACACTTAATGGAGGCAATACTTCATGTGGCAGATATTCAGATGCTAGTGCGTTAGTATACTGCTCTCTACCTTTTTTTCTTGCACCTTATAACAGTTCTGGTTAATGTATCACAAGCCCTTGAATTTAAAGTCAGTGAGTGTAACTTCAAAGTACAGTGCTCCACATAATCTTAGGTCCACCTCCAAAGATCGGCAAATAAAAATTTTTCCACTTTTTCCCAAAAAGTTAGCAACATCATCTTCTCGCTACTGGTATTTAAAATTTATACCAAAAGCACCAATGCCGATCAACGGTTAGACAAAATCATTAGCTAGAAAAACATGAAAAAAACCATTTTGGCGACTCCACATAATCTTAGGTCCACCCGGCTTTACGAAAAAACGCGTGCGCCCAGAGTGCCTAATCGAAGTTCTTTTGCTTAATCACAACCTCAGCTACTCATGGAAACGAAAAAACTGGGTTGCCAAGCCCTGGGACGATTTTTGAAAAATCGGATTTTAACAAAGGAATTTGTTTTTTTTTAATTCTTAAAAACCAAAATGAATTCCCTTCGATTCAATGACCAAGTACGAAATAGCACTACAAAGGGCGGTCATTTTCTTATACAGGAACACCCGCTAAATAGTCAGCAAAGCTTATTAAAACGCTTCCGAAAGTGCTACCATGGCTGGCGTAGGCCGGGTTGATGCATTTCACAGCACCCAGACTTTGTCCGGATTTTATAAACTTGAGGCTCAAATTTTCAAGGGTTTCATGATACAGAAATGACCGCAATTAGAAGCTCTTTCAGATACGGTAGTCAAATCTCGGCTCCACTCCGGTTTTCGATTTTTTAGAATTAAAAAAGCAAATTCCTTTGTGAAAATCCGATTTTTCAAAAATCGTCCCAGGGCTTGGCAACCCAGTTTTTTCGTTTCAATGAGTAGCTGAGGTTGTGATTAAGCAAAAGAACTTCGATTAGGCACTCTGGGCGCACGCGTTTTTTCGTAAAGCCGGGTGGACCTAAGATTATGTGGAGTCGCCAAAATGGTTTTTTTTCATGTTTTTCTAGCTAATGATTTTGTCTAACCGTTGATCGGCATTGGTGCTTTTGGTATAAATTTTAAATACCAGTAGCGAGAAGATGATGTTGCTAACTTTTTGGGAAAAAGTGGAAAAATTTTTATTTGCCGATTTTTGGAGGTGGACCTAAGATTATGTGGAGCACTGTATATTAGCTATCGAGTCGGCTCTTTCACGTAGAATAATTCTCTATCGACGCCGAACCGATGACAAAGAGTGAATCGTCAGCATCATCTTGAAATCATCAATAGACGACAGTCAATGATAGTCGTGATACCTGCGGTATTAACAGCAATGGTTGCGTGCGAAACGGCTTCTCGGTCAATGCGTAACTATATTTTGTTAGCCAGCAAAACTGACTTCATTACTTAAGTGCTTGAGCAATGCTAAGCTCAGGCGTGGGCGTGGCTTTTTACATGATCTTAAAGCTCTGGCAAACAGCTTCTGGGTACTAATGCAATTGAAGGGGGGGCAGTCCGGAATTGGTGGTAGAGGCGTGTAAACTATTTCTTGCTGCTATTTGCTTAAGTCTGGGCTTAACTTAGCTTTAACTATGCTTAGCTAAAGCCCATAATGCAGCTTGAGCCTAATCCAGGCTTAACTTCATCTTTGAATCGCCTTTAGAGGTCTAAATGGGGTAATTAGGGCTTAGCCTCGCTCAAGCTAAGCCAGGGCTTCGTTTGTATGAAGTTAAGACTACGTTTCGGCGTAGATTACAGCTTTGTTAGCTTTTCCAAGCTTAGAGTTATAAAAAACGACATTGAAGCGTCTTGTAGTCAAAATCCTGTCCGCCGTCCAAGCGCATAAGCACCCCTTTCGCCGTTTCTCTAAAAAGAAACATTCAGCTAACATCTTTCTATCATGGAAACGTTTTTGACATAAGGAACTATAAAACATAAACAATCAAACGTGAAAAGCAAAAAAAGTCTGAAAAAAGGTAAAGGTAACAACGAGTTAATGTATGATGATCTACAGATAAACCGTTTGATACGCTAAATCTATTTAATTTACTATCAAGACGCTCTGCTGCCGACGTAAAATAAAATCCTGAGGTCAATTCTTACAAGCTGACAGCGACGACCACGCGGTACAACAGTATACCACGGCAACAACAGTTGAATTAAAGTTTTTTTCGATACTAAATCTATTAATATATGAAAGCGAAGGTAAAACTGATCGATAAAGCGCCGATGCAAGAGTATTGGGGGCCCCTACAAGCCAGGTTTCACGATAAAGTACTCCCTGATACGTTAAAATACTAATTAAAGTATATTTTAATAATAAAAAGCTTAATTTAGTACTATTAGCTTTAATAAAGCTTATTTAAACGGTTAGCCGAAAAAGCGGTCGAGCGGTCGAGCGGTCGAGCGGTCGAGCGGTCGAGTGGTCGAGCGGTCGAGCGGTCGAGCGGTCGAATTATATGAATTGCCAGATGAATCACTTGATTTCATGCCAAGGGTGATACCTTATACGCCGCTGCGTGTCTAGCCCCCCGGCTTTGGGAAAGAAGGGCAAACAGCTCGTGGAGCGTGCAATAGCAAGCAGATAGGATGGGCTAAAGGGACAAGAAAGTCGGAAGGGTTTTTGAGCTTGAAAATGGCTTCACTGGCCCTTTAGAAATATAAATATAGCATTCATTCTATCGACGTATCGCGAAAAGCATCTTTCGATCTTTTGGACCTGATTATATTTTCTTAAAATGAACGATAACTGATACAATAGTAGTAAAACCTTTGATAAAATACTGAAACGTTTGAAAATTGATTTTTGCGCTCGTTAAACCAAGCATTACACTCTATTTAATCGGCTTGTTGTCAAAAAAAGTTGAAGCGCTCAAAGCTTAACCTGAAAATATAGAAATTTCACTTTTTCTTGTTCACCCCTCCAACCGAAGCCCCCACTTTTCGCTCCTAAACACCCCTGACGTCCTATCTTCGAAAGCCTTCTGAAAAGTACTTTCTCAGGTTACAATTTCGACAGTTCCCAGCGCAAAACATCACTCGAGAAAGCTTGTTTTGCCTCGCCCCCGGTCCACCCGCCCTCCCACCCCTTTTCCACGCCGTTTGCCATTGTTATTTGCGGGCCTAGCACACACAAATCGATCCCAAACACCCATATCGCCATTGAGCCTGGTTCAGCAGTTTCTGTCTGCCCGGCGATAATCCATTGGTGGGTACTCATGGGTACTCCACTCCGTTTTGGTCGCCTTTTCATAACTTTTTTCGGGACACCGCGAAAAAGCTGGCCTTTCAGAAATTCATGATCACTTTATGAGGCAAATTTTTATCGTGTTCCTTAACTAAATTTCTATATATCTGAAATCTATTCGAAGTAAAGAAAATAAAAAATTTAAAGAGAAAAGCCGAACAAGAAAAAATTTTTCTCGGTTGAATTTCGTGGCGTAACTGATTCCGTTTGCTCCAATGGACGAAAATCGTCAATAGGATACAGGTGTACAGGGACGTAGCGTAATACAGGCCCCGGGGGCCCGGGGGCCCCCCCCCCCGAAATCGGCCGGGGCCCGAAAATTTCATAAGGGGGGACCCTTATGATTTTTATTTTCTCAAAAATTTTGCTGCCTGCGGCGCTATTTTTTCACGTTTTTACGGCTATTTGTAGAGCTATGCAACCTTTTTTTGCAAAAATTTTTGCCTGCGGCGCTCTTTTTTCGGCAATGTTTTGAGTTTTTTGGAAAAATTTTTTGGGGGCCCCCCCCGAAATTTTTTTCTGGCTACGCCCCCTGCAGGTGTAATATGGAAAAATCCTGAAATCCGGGGCTTTGATTTGTTTTTGTTTTCCATTTTCTTTAAATTTTCTATACAAAAAATTTCTTGATTTTTCAGAATGGGCACTCTGGAGACGTTCGGGTTGAGGGAAGCGTGGCCGCGCAGTCTGCACATCGAGCTGCCCGCCGATCCGCTCTTCTTCACCGTGTTCGCCTCGCTGGTCGCCGTCCCGTCCCTCTTCTTCGTCGCCACCATCGTCACGACGCTCATCGTCAATTTCGGAATCGCCTTCATCGTTCAAAGTAGAAAATTTTGACATATTTAAATCTTTTTTAGCATCCGCCCTCATCTTCTGCCTGGCCTGGTTCGTGCCGACGTTCATCTTCTGCATCGCAGGCGCCTTCTTCATCACAAAGGTATACTACATATTTTATTTAATAGATCTGCTTCTTTCGTTCTCTTTTTGCATTATCGCGGGCATGAAACTCAAGTTTTTTTTCAGTTCTTTCGCATTATCGGGGGGAGGGGGGTAACTTTTCTAATGGAAGTAGTTATAGACCTGTTTCTAAACTGTTTTCGACAATTCGTAAACGCAAACACTCTATGAATTTTGAGCAAAAAGTAGTCGCGGATTTTCGCCATTTTTCCACTTGAAATATGGTTCATTTTGCTAAAACACTTACTATAACGCTACTAGGCATTTCTGAACTCCCCGCCCCCGATATTGCGAAAGAACCGTTGTTTCTATAGGATCTAACTTTTCTCTACTTCAAATAGGTCTGACTGTGTTTCGTATACGGAAACGCCTTCCCCCGATAATGCCAAAGAACCCGGTTTTCTATATAAAATAATTAACTATCGAGTTTCCTGTTTAGGCCACGCGCGCTGTCTTCTTCCTCCTCGATCAAGTCGAACAACGTCATTTGCCGTACGACAAATCGGCCCACGAGAAGCTGCACTAATTCTCGTGCCACTGCACCTTCTTTGTAATAATTTCTAGATTTACCCGCTAGTCCTTTTGCTACTTGAATGTACCTGATTTCCGCTCAATACTGTGCTCTGTACTAGTTTCTACTCTTTCAATTTGTCATTTTTTATGATTTCCCCCTCAATGTATAAAACAACCCCAAAATACCGGTCCCCACGACTTGTGCATGTCCTCCCCCGATCTGTGATGAAGCCATTTTCACGTTGCCTTGCTTTTTTCGCGATAATAAACAGTTTTTGCGTGAAGGCATTTATATTTTAGTGGGGGAAAGGCACATCCAGTAGCCTCATAGAATCTTTGAAAGAGGTATAGCTGTAAAACTATCGCAGAAGGGCATAAAAGTATAGAAAAAAGTAATAATATTCTTTTAGTTTTTTACAAGAGTTCAAATCCGTGGTCGGCCGCCTGCTTTCGCTCGAATTCGGTGGCCTCCTGGAAAATTAAAGTTTTTTAGATTTTATTTGGCGTTTTGACGTTTTTAGAACGTTTTTAAACCATTCTTGGGCTTTTTTTTTCTTAAAAAGTATAGTTTTTCATATGAAAAAGCGTTTTTGGGAGTAGGTTGGTCGAAATTGAGGACTGTTCGTGCTGGAAAAGCTTTCTAACATTTCAAAGCGTTTTTTCAGCAGAATTGAGGCCATTTTGAAATAATAACTTGCCCTAGGACTCATCGTTTTTGGCTCCTCGTGCATCACAGTAAATAGTGGATCTTTTGTACGCTTTGACCCGAGATTTGTACCCAGCTCCACGTCGATCACTTGGTTCTGAAGGGAAAAGTTATTTTTGGGCGTTTTTTAGGCTACCAGATTCAAATATCGCATCGACTCCTCGAATTCGTCCTTGTTGCGCATCAGAAAGCCGACGGCGCACGAGGGATCGATGGATGAGATTGGCATTTTGGAGAGTAGTCGGCAGTGGAAGGAGGAGAAGGGCTAAAAATGGGTTGTTTGGAATCGCCTGAAACCTCGAAAGGCAGGCTAGCCGAGGCCATTCAGCGCGTTTTTTTTGGAGATTGGAGCGGTTTTAGCTTTCTCGTTGCGTTTTTCGGGATTTTGCTGTCACTTTTGCGCGAGCAGCTAGGGCAAACTAGCAAAGATCCTTGCGGAGTAGGGTCTTCCTTTTCGTTCTAGGTTTCTGAAATTTTTTACGAGGCAAACTAGCAAAGATCCTTGAAGAATCGCGGTTCTTGGTCCAGATTTTTACCTTGTGTTTCCGCTTCTGTTTCGGCGAGCCTTCGTCGAGCTCTTTTTCCAGCGGCACGTACTGATGGCTGACGTGCGGGTCCAGATAAATTAGTTGCTAAATTTTTCTGTCTATTTTGTAGGTTTTAGCGCTTACGCCATGATAATGCCCAATGAAGTAGGTTGAATGGTTCGGTTTTCCGCCTCCAATCCCTAGCGAATTCGGCATGGAGAGCAGGAATTCGAGGTGGCGATTGTAGACCTAAATAATTGAGGGTTTTCAGAGTTGTCGGGAGCTTAAAAGTTGTAGGTTGTAGTTTATAGCAGACATGGCAATCGGCCGGGCCGCGCGGCTTTTTCGGCCGCAAAAATTAGCATGCGGCCGGGCCGCGCGGCTTGGCCGCACTTCCGGTGCGGCCGCGGCTTTTTAGTGTTTTGAGGCCGCACGGCGGCCAAGCCGCGCGGCTTTTAAGGCCGCATCCAAATGAGTTTTGAGTACTTCCGGCATGTAAATCCGAGATGTAATGGGTATTTAGCTTGCTAACGAGGAATATTTATTTTCGACAACCTTAATTTTCTCATTTCCATTCCCATTTCGCATGAAATTCGCGGATTTTTGGTATGTAGAAGAGCTACTTCCGGATTGCGGCTTGGCCGCAGCGGCCCGGCCGAGCCGCAATGAAAATGCGGCTCGGCCGCGAAGCCGCGTTTCCGGAAGTAGCTAATTACGGCGGCTCGTAGGGGGCCGCGTTTTTTATGGAAATTAGGCCGCCGGCCCGGCCGCGCGGCTCGGCCGATCGGAATTTGCTATGTCTGGTTTATAGCATATAGACGTAGTTTAAAGTTTTTATACTCACCTTATTAACAGAATGAGCTCCTAGTCGTACACAAATAAAGAGTAGTAGCGGTCGTGTCCAGTCCCTCGTCTCTCTTTCGACTACAGGAACGATTAGAGAACCATCAACGCAGACTACAACGGCCAGACCGGCCGTTAGCGATGAGGTCGAGGAGGTGATGGCTTTTCTAAAAAAATACAAGATAAATTCTGCAATTCTAAATTCAGTCTTGTTGCTGACGTTAGCAAATTCTGTAAGCGATCTAACAGGGACTATTGCGGAATTTTTTTTAAGGTATCCGCAAACTCTCTGTTAGCTGGCCCGGTCTCGATCTGGATCACGATTTGGCGCAAAATCAGATAGTTATTGAATCGTATACTGTGCAGTGGTCCTTTCGGAATTTTGGCGGATCCCGCAAATGATCTCTGCTAGCCTGCCCTCCCTTTAACTTACTTTAACAACCCCAGCGCTTCACTGGGCGTAAACCAGGACCCCGCTGATGCTTGCGGGTTTTCGCAAAAGCTGATCAGGCGGTGGATACCTTAATTTTGAGGGGTATTACGGGAATTTGCAAAGGTTTGGATACCTAGTGGGGCCATGGGTTGATCCTCGAAAAGGCGGAGAATTCCGAAGTGTTCTAGGGCTAGTGTAGGGGCTTGGCCCTGGAAGGGGACGCCGCGGAGGTTCCAACGCCAATCTGGAAAATTTAAGTAGAATGGTTTCGCTCTCTCACTCTCTCTCTCTCTCTCTCTCTCTCTCTCTCTCTCTCTCTCTGTCTCTCCCCTCTGTCTATCTCTCTCTTTCTCTCTCTCTCGCTCTCTCTGTCTCTGACGCTCTCCCTCTGTCTCTCCTGTCTCTCTCTATCTCTCACTCTCTCAAACCTACTTCTTCCATGCCTCAATAAAAGTAGAGCCTGAGCCACCATCATTTGCCCGGTTCGCAACATACAGCCCCAACCACAGTCGGTTCGCAGCTAAAAACCTGTGGTTCCTAAAATGCGCTTCGCCTACCGTAGTCCCCTCCAGCGGCTCAAATCCGATACGATATGTCAGCCAGATTCTCGAGTAGTAATCACGGTAGAAGTCGTTGAAGCTTTGGTCGGGTTCTGAAAACGAGTGGATTACGAGAGAGAGAAAAAGAGAGAGTGAGAGAGGAGAGAGAAGAGAGAGAGAGAGAGAGAGAGAGGGAGAGAGAGAAATACCTACCAAATGTTTCCGGAAAGTATTGCTCCCCGAGCAGTAATATCGGATGTTCTCCCCCATAATTCATCGACTCGTCAATCCGCAGTGCGGACGAGTATTTGACGTTGTTCCAGGCGTTCCAGATTCGGCTCTGAAAATTAAGAATAGCTCACTCTCTCTATCTCTCTCTCTCTCTCTCTCTCTCTCTCTCTCTCTCTCTCTCACCTTGACCGTCTCCTTCTTCGGGTCGGGCGGATCTCCATTTTTCCATTTTGACAGAATATGACGGCCAGCCCTGTAATAAAACCTCAATAGGAAAAAAATAAAAAATAAAATTGAATGGATATTAATTTGACGCACTTTTTCGCGGAGTTCAGCCACCCCTCTTCCTGCTCTTCTTCTGCTTTCTCATCGTCTTTTTGTAATTTTGAGCTCCCTGGCAGCTCATCGTCGGAGTCAGTATCGTAGAAGTAGTCCTAAAAATGGGGATAAATCGAGAACTCGAAAAATCTCATTGATACCAAATACACAATAGTTTTAAATGGTTTTCGTCTATTACGATTGTATGGTTATTTACGCTATTTTACCATGGTATATCATCATCATTTTCCCAAAAATACAGGTTTTTAAGCGTAGAAGAATAGCAAAAATCAAATCTTAAAGTTTTTCGAAAATGCGCTTTTTTTGGATTTTTGGCTACTGTAAGTTTTTATGGTTCTTTTGTAACTAAACTTTTTCTCGAAGCTGATAATCAATATTTTGTTGAAAATTTTAATAGATTTCTACCGTTAGCAAAAGACTTTCAAAATCGGTGCAAAAATTAAAAAATTAGACATAAATTCAAAAAAATCGGATTTTTGGGACTTTGGCTACTGTAAATTTTTTTAAATTTTTTGTAATTGTCATTTTTCGATATCTGAATAACCCACCGTATCCTTGGTCCTGCAACTCGGACCCGGTTCTACCGTATGCCCGTTTGGCAGCCTGCCAGCAGGTGGCCGATCTGCCATGTAAGAGAAAAAGCTAAAAATCCCATAAATTACCTAAATATTAATTATGAAATTTATTAAATAAATATTGGCTGTAAAAACCAATAATACGGTTGAAAATACAAAAAAAAACAATAAATGTATTTATTCTTGTCAACATATGCCATTTCTGGGGGGTTGACCCGTAGCGCTACGCAACACACACTATCACAGCGTTCTGGAGAGCCGTAATGCATCGGAATCGGGGGGGAGGGCGATGAAATGTTGGGTTTTAATATGCAAATTGGGCTAGAAAATCGGATAAATAAATGAATAAATAGAAAGATAAATAAATGTAATTTTTTCACAAAGTCAAAAAAGCAAAATCTAAAAAATGCGATTTTGTCGAAATTTCAAAAACTGTAAAAAATTTGCAAATTTCGATGAAAGGTTCAAATTTAAAAGATCAAACCCAAAAATACATTTTTTTCATTAAATGTGACTACAAAAATAGAAAAACTAAAATGCAATAAAAATTAAGTTTCGAAATTCCTTAAAAGCATAAAATCGCAAAGTTTTGGATACTTTTTGGAGCGATTAAAGGTATATTGCTCAAGTCCCGCAAAGAGCCCGAAAGCTCAAAAACTCTTTGCTGAGCTTCCATAGTCCGGCTTTGTAGAAGTTCTCCAGCTCCTCGACGGCACACAGGCCATCGCTCGAATTTTCTCGGCAAAATGGGAGCTGAAAGGGGCATATTTATACCGTAAGACTCTTTTAAATCACGACGCCTGTCCTTTAAAGACACTAGGACGCCAAAAAATCGAGCCCTTTGACTAGGTCTCGACAGCTACGCGACACTCCAAAAAACACGTGGAAGCGCTTTGAATTTGGTCCAAGTAGCCCCTCTCTAGCTAGTAACAAATGAGAAATCACGTGTCATTTGGAATGTTGCGTAGCTGTCTTGACCTATTCGAGGGAAGGGTCGCTTATTACGCTTTATCCACTCTTTAAGGTGTCCTTCACCCACCTTTTCTGTGAATACCTCCCCATTAAATAGCAGCCGGAAGTATAGGGCATTGCTAGGATCGGAGTAGACCTGAAAGTTCATCTTAGAGCGAGAGAGAGAGCGAGCGAGTGAGAGAAAGAGAGATAGTGAGAGAGAGAGAGCGGGAGAGTGAGAGAGTGAGAGAGTGAGAGAACGAGTGAGAGAGAGAAACTCACCTCCAAAACTACCCTACTGGCGTATCTCGGCGGATCTTGGGGTAAAATCCGGAGTACTCGAAGCAGTGGGCCTAGCGTTGAGTCGTGGGCGGAAAGGAGCTAAAAGTTGAGAAATAAATATCAAAAATCACAAAATCCAGATATTTCCAAAAGTATACCTTAATCTGGCTGGCTTCCGGATCCTTTTGAAGGGCTTCGATTACGTGGAGCCATTTCCCTAGAATGAAATGAAATTCAGAGAGAGCGAGAGAGAGAGAGAGAGAGAGAGAGAGATAGAGAGAGACTGAGCGAAAGGCGCATTTCCTTACCGATGACACTATTCGCCTCAGCCAGCTGCACCCTCTGCGCAATGTAATTCGGTCCGTCGATGAACATTTGCTCGCCTCTTCTCGTCGTCTCGGCATAAATCTGTAAAAATGTGAGTCATGATCTCGCTATCTCTCTCTCTCTCTCTCACCTCATCCATCAACCCATACGAAACACAGTCCCCTCTCGCGTTACAGGGCAAATTCTCTCGGCGACAGATGTAGAACCCAACCATCCTGAAATACGTATCGTAATCGGATATGGAATCAGCGGGACCTTGATGCCAGATTTTTCTGAAAATAGAACGATCAGATCATAAGGAAATTAGCGAAAGGAGCAATTGGGCAGGCTAGCAGCGTTCATTTGGGAATGATAGGGGCAGGCCGGCAGAGATCATTTGGGAATGGAAGGGGCAGGCTAGCAGAGATCATTTGGGAATGGAAGGGGCCGGCTAGCAGAGATCATTTGGGAATGGAAGGGGCAGGCTAGCAGAGATCATTTGGGAATGGAAGGGGCAGGCTAGCAGAGATCATTTGGGAATGGAAGGGGCAGGCTAGCAGAGATCATTTGGGAATGGAAGGGCAGGCTAGCGAGATCATTTGGGAATGGAAGGGCAGGCTAGCAGAGATCATTTGGGAATGGAAGGGGCAGGCTAGCAGAGATCATTTGGGAATGGAAGGGGCAGGCTAGCAGAGATCATTTGGGAATGGAAGGGGCAGGCTAGCAGAGATCATTTGGGAATGGAAGGGGCAGGCTAGCAGAGATCATTTGGGAATGGAAGGGGCAGGCTAGCAGAGATCATTTGGGAATGGAAGGGGCAGGCTAGCAGAGGTTTTTGAGGCAACCTACGCATCCATAAATTGCCAGGGATCAACAAAGCTTCTAGTGGCCGGAAGTTCTTTGAAAATCTGGCACTTCCGCTGAAGGCCTGCCGGAGAGCGTAATTTGAAGAATTGGGCGTATTCCTGGAAATTTTTTTAACTTAAAAATGTCAAATACCGCACCTCCTCATATTGTTTTCGCCAATCGCCAGCCTTTGAGCATCTACAATACGCCTCCTCGTCAGCGCATAGGAAGTGGTTTCCGGAGAAATTGACGAAAATCCGTTTGAGCTGGGCTCTAAACGAGAGAAAATGGGGAAAAATTAGTACAACCTGTCGCATATCCGAGAGAGAGAGAGAGAGAGAGAGAGAGAGAGTGCGTGCGATACCTTTGAGGGAATAAAAACCCAGAAATAACGCCGGTCAACGATTGCAGCGTCCGATTATAAGGTGTAGTCATCGCCGATATCTTGATTCGCGGGGCTAAAAACAAATTGTTATCCGGTTTTAAAGCCCTGGTAAGGTAGCACCAACCCATATTAGAGGCCAGGTCTCGACAGTTACGAGAAACGTCAAATGACACCTTCCAACCGGCGCTTCTAGCCATGCTGGTCCGGAATTTTGAGCAAAAATCAAGAGTTTTCGGGTGTCATTCGGAGCGCGGCGGAGCTGTCGAGACCTAGTGGATGTCCGGGGTAGATTTTTGGGCCTAATGATGCCTTTAAATTGTATTTTTTATACCTTTAAATAGGGAGGTATTCGAATATCTGCCATGTAGAAATGTCCCTAATCTGTGGAGCTGAAGAGCTCCTTCGGCGGTCAGCTGACCGGCTTGGCAGGACGACCTGGAAAAATGGATAAATTGAGAGCAACAGGATTTATTTTGCAGCGTATAAAAATACTAGTAAAGGCACTTGAAAATCAAGTAAAAAACAGAAAAGTCAAGCGAGGACGTACTGATGTGGGATGATCCCGTAGCTGCCATTTCTCAGGGTAGGATGCCGCTGCATAAAGTCCTCAAATGACGGCGAAGTGATTAGCTGAAAAAATGACGCGTTGAGGCTTAAAAAATATCTCGTCGGAAATGCTTCACTAAAGGGAATAGGAAGTGCAAAAATCGAGAGAAACCCCCGCTAATGAACCAGAGCCGCCAACTGGCGAGTGCTGACCTGATTTTTATCTCCCCCCAAAAGAGTGACAGTAGAAAAAAAATGGAATGAACTTGTCACTCGTCATTTGGAACGTCTCGTAGCTGTTGGGACTTCCTGGTCCCTTTAATGCCGTTCCCTTACCTGTCTATATTTCCGGAACGCTACTCGATCCGTTTCGTGGTATGGGGCGCAAGAGGTCGTCTTCATCAGCTCCGCATCTTCGATAAGTGCAGCCCGCTCGCCATGTCTCGTCAAAACCACGAGCCCCCGAAGCTTCAAATTCTTGCCTAGCCGTCCGGAGCGCGGTTTCACGAGGCCTAAATTTTCTGATGAGCCTGAGAGTTCAGTCTACGCCGAAGCCAAGCCTAAGCCAAGCCTAAGCCAAGCCTAAGCCAAGCCTAAGCCAAGCCCTGGCCAAGCCTAAGCATAAGCCTAAGCCAAGCCTAAGCCAAGCCTAAGCCAAGCCCTGGCCAAGCCTAAGCATAAGCCTAAGCCAAGCCTAAGCCAAGTCTAAACCAAGCCTAAGCCACGCCTAAGCCAAGCCTAAACCAAGCCTAAGTCAAGCCTAAGTCAAGTCTAAGCCAAGCCTAAGCCGAGACTAAGCCAAGCCTAAACCAAGCCTAAGCCAAGCCTAAGCCAAGCCTAAGCCAAGCCTAAGCCAAGCCTAAGCCAAGCCCTGGCCAAGCCTAAGCATAAGCCTAAGCCAAGCCTAAGCCAAGCCTAAGCCAAGCCCTGGCCAAGCCTAAGCATAAGCCTAAGCCACGCCTAAGCCAAGCCTAAACCAAGCCTAAGTCAAGCCTAAGTCAAGTCTAAGCCAAGCCTAAGCCGAGACTAAGCCAAGCCTAAACCAAGCCTAAGCCAAGCCTAAGCCAAGCCTAAGGCAAGTCTAAGCATAAGCCCTGGCCAAGGCAGCCTAAGCCAAGCCTCGTCACAGCCAAGCCTTCAAAGCCTCACCTTCCCATCCGTGCATCGGATCCTCGAGAAATTGGCAGTACTCCCGCCATTTGTCTGGGATCGCATCAGAAGGCGAGGTAATGGGAGGCTTTTCTATATTGGTCAAAATCAATTTCTTTTTCCAAAAAATCTAATTACTACTACTTCCTTACTTTAACAAATGTTGTAGTTCGTAGACTATCAAACAATGCCAGATTTAGTATCGTTTAAAACCGACGGGAAATTACTTACCTTTAGAAATTGGCGGCGCTTCAACTGGGATGTCCTTTGGCAGCTCGGTTGATGACCCTGGAAACAATACTCCTTGCCAGTTCCTTTCAGCAAATTGACGGCCATCTCAAACACTCACAATTCCGAAAGATTCCGAGCAAAAAGTAGACGATGCATAGGATGAGGACGGCCCGCAGGCATAATGAATAGCCCCTCATCGACCATATACCGCTCTAGTTAGATCCCGGACGTCATTTCGTTCTAGAAAAAGGTAAAATCCTGCTCGTAGAGGTATCAGAAAGCCGAAGAATCGACCTCTGTCATCAACTGGGTCTTGACAACTACGCGATTGTTTAAATGGAACATGGAATGTGTGGCTTTTTTCTTCTAAGGGTGGAGTGAGAAGAGCGAGAGAGAGAGAGATAGAGAGAGAGAGAGAGAGAGAGAGAGAGAGAGAGGAGAGAGGGGGAGGGAGGGAGGGAGGGAGGGGAGGGGGAGGGAGAGGGAGAGAGGGAGAGAGAGAGTGAGAGAGAGCGAGAGAGAGGTACATGTTGAGGGAGAAGGCTAACGACGTCGGCCGCAACAGAGATACGGGTGAGAGAGAGAGAGAGGGCGAGAGAGAGTGAGAGAGAGACAGAGAGGGACAGTGATTTCGCGCGCAAGGCTTGGCTGCGAGATCTTTTTTAATACCACGAGAATACTTTTTAATAAAAAATATAAATATGGCCGAATTCACCATTTTTCAACAGTAAGAATTTCGGCAAAAATGTTGACTATTTATTGGCACCAAACAGATATTGTGAAAGACGAGATCGTATTGAGAGATTAGATCAGATTGGCATGAGAATCTGAGGATAAAATTGAGATCACATAAATTATTAGACCAGGCAAGAATAATGACTGATTGGAATGGACAAATCATAAAAAAATCCCAGTAATAAAAATGAGAAAGATCACATAGAAAAATATGGCGTGAAAGGCGACGAAAATTGACAAAATATGGAAAAAATGGGTGATAGGAGGGCATACAAAAAAAACATAAAATTACAACTTAATAAATTTCAATTTTCATGAATAAATTGGTTCCTAAGCATTACCGGCGGGGGGTAACTTTTTTCAGGATTCCGGAATATAAATAGAAGACATTTTTTGACCATTCCTAAATGTAAAATTTACAAATTTTGTTTAAAAATAATTTTCGGTCTAAACATAACGAATTTTTACAAAAAGTTTTATGAGTGTTTTTCACTTAAATGTCAATAAATTTTGCTAAAAACAGTATCGAAACACTTCCTGTTACCTATTTATAAACTTTTAGGAAAAAGCTGGCCCCCGATAATGGCATAGAACTATTGAAACAATTATTGATTGATGATGCTTAATTAAATATAGGTCGAAAAACTAGCGTAAAATTATAGTGCTTCTTTCTGATATTTTTTCTACCACTCGAAGTCGTCGTTCGCCGGCTCATACCGTTCCAACCGAAGGTTAGGCACTTCCAGATCTTCCTCACGACCGGGCGGGGAGGTTGTTTTCTAAATCATGGTAACCTGCCGTAACCGGTCTGAAGAATTTACCTTTTCTTCAGCTTCTCCCCCGCCATCTCTCTGCTTCATCACCATCGCCATGTAGCGTGCCATCACCGGGTCAACGCCCTCGAATACGGTATTGTCGGTGGCGGGTACGGTAGTTGGGGCTAAAAAACTTTTTAAACTTTTTAAACCTCTTTAAAGGCGCTGGGAAGCGTGAGAAACGTCTCCTAGGGACGGCTGAGTCTAGAAAGTTACGTGACACTTCAATTTTCAGCCGAAAGTTTGATTTGGCCAACTCGAGGCGTCAAATTTTGGGCGGAACCCGAAAGTTGCTGGAAAGGGTCGATTCTCGAGAATGGGAGGGAGGGTGAGAACGAGCGAAAGAGAGAGAGAGTGAGAGAGAGAGAGAGAGAGAGAGAGAGAGAGAGAGGGAGAGAGCCAGAGAACGTTAGAGAGCGAGGAAGATGGAGAGAGAGAGAGCGTGGGAGAGAGCGTGAGAGAGAGAACGAGTGACAGAGCTAGCAGAGAACGTTAGAGAGCGAGAGAGATGGAGAGTGAGAGAGAGAGAGAGAGAGAGAGAGAGCGAGCGAGCGAGAGATATAGTCGGAGATAACGTTACCCACCTTCCTGCCCAGTTTCCACACTCCTTTGAAGAGTTTCTCTTCTCTCTTCCGGTTCAGTCCTTAAACCAAGCGCACGATTCCGCTGCGCTTCGCGTTGACGCAGCTTCTCCTCGAAAGTCAGCTCGTTTTTTGTAGGTTTGGCTGGCGGGGTTGTCTCATTTTTCGGCGAGTTTTTAGGCGGAGACTGCGCTGGGGAGGGAGGCTTCACGCTTCTGGGTTTCGTTTCTGTCTAAAAACGCGATTTAAATTTGGAATAAAAAACGGATTTTGATTCGACAAAAGAATCTCTGCTGGCTCCTACCTTTGGCTGCTCGGGGGCGCGGAAAATCGGGTCGGAAACCTGGGCCGGGCGAACGGCCACGGGACGGTGTATTTGCCTGTAATAACCTCGTTTCATAGCCATCGTTTTACCTTAATTTAAGTTTGTAAATTAAATTTTTTTGCGCTTACACCGCGTGTTGTGCGCGCGCCATGGATACGTATGAACCGTCTACGTTGCGTTTTGCGTATTGCGTGAGTCGCGTGTAAAGTGCGTTGCGTATCGCGGTCGTAGCGTATCACGTGCATTGCTGGTCGCGTGGGGTTCCTGTTCACTGCGCCGCGCATCGCACACGTTGTATGCGTCGCGTTTCACGCATATCGCGTACAGCGTGCGTTACGTAGCGCGTACGCCACGGATCTCTGGCTTTGTGTGCCGCGCGCGCCCGCCCGTTGCCCATAGCGTACATTGCGTGTCGGGAGCGTATTCCATAAAACGACAAAACCGATTGGAAAATTAAGTGTTTTTGCCGTAGTTTTGCTTTGCCGTTTTTAAACACTCAAGTTTTTCCAAGTTTTCTAGAACTAAAAACAAGACATCAAAAATTTAAAAACGGCATAAAAATTAATCAAAGCGAAGTTTTTACGGTTTTTTTTTACCTTGACCTCGTCTCCTCGATCGCCTGATCCCTGCAAAAATCATCAAGCTGCCCGGCGGTCCAGTCGTCGTCGAGGACGGTGGCCCGGAAACCGAAGATACGATCGGCCGTCGCGTCGAGGTCTTTTGAAGCATCACCAAGGGCGCGGAGACGTTTCCGGATCTCGGCCACGTCGGAATCGCCATCGGAAGAGAGGGAAGAGACCGGAGACGTCGAGGGGCTGATCCTCCTGGAAAAACAAAAACACTATCAGAAAATGTATCTAAATATCTAAAGATACATCGCAAAAATTTGCGTGTTTTAAGAGACTGATCGGCACGAGAAGATGATAAAGTTACCGTGGCCGCCTTGAAGCCGAGATGCTTCTGGAGCGCTGTACTGCCAGGTTATGCAAATCCCTGCGTCTCAATTCTTTGACTTGCTGCCGTAGGTAGCTTCTTTCCTGGGAAACAGTCTTCAGGCGATCGTTCTGAAAATTAGCAAATTTTAGGTATTTTTCTTGGGCGATAGTCTCCCCAAGGGTCTCTGCTCGCCTGCCCCTGATCCATCACGGTCTTCTTAAACGATCAAATGATCTCTGCTAGCCTGCCGGGGGATGTATCAAGATTTGCATATTCCCAAATAACCTCTGCTAGCTCGCCCTATGCCTCGTTTCCTCAGATATCTCTGCTACCCGGCCCTTCATCCACCAAAATTTTCTGAAATTCTCCAAGAACCCCAGCTAGCTTGCCCCTGTCCAATAGCAAAGAGTGTTCATTGCTTGCTCAATGTTTTCTTGGATTCTAGAAGGATCTCTGCTAGTCTGCTTGGCCCGCTAGCCTGATCCGCCGGGCCTTCCGTAATTCCCAAATAATCTCTGCTAGCTTGCCACCCAGCTTTCCAGGTTTTCGAAAAATCGTCAAGCATTTTTGCTAGCCTGCCTACTATACTTCTCCGCCCACCCTGGGTGGGCCCCCCCTAGGGGGGACAGAGGGGGGACTGAAAGGGGGGATGGTGGGGGCCCCCGGGGACCCCCCAATGACCGTGCCCCCTACCCCCCTGAGGCATGAAGGTATGGCATCTACGAGTTCCATTCGCTATACCGAATTTTCACTATACCGAATTTTCGCTATACCGAATTTCGCTATGCCGAATTTTTGGTATACCGAATTTTCACCATGCCGAATCTTCGCCATACCAATTTTGATAAGCGGTATGTTCCCAATTTTTTTTACTGTTTTTTTTCCAAATAGATGGGCCTAGAAACTTAGAGTTAGCCTAGAAGTTTCCAAAAACGCAGGCCGAGCGTGGGTCCCGTAGGCGCAGCAGATTTTCTGTTGCACCGCAAAGTCCCAGCCGATCTTAGTTATTAATATTAGTAGAGAATATTAGTAGTAGAGTAGCAAAAATTCGGCATAGCGAAATTCGGTATAGCGAAAATTCGGTAAAGTGGGGGGGAGGAGGGGGGAAGAATCCCCCCGGGGGTCCCCCCGGGGGGGGGCCCCCCCACCATCCCCCCTTTCAGTCCCCCCTCTGTCCCCCCTAGGGGGGGCCCACCCAGGGTGGGCGGAGAAGTATACTGCCTACCCTGCGATTTTGCGATTCCCAAAGAATCTCTGCTAGCCTGCCCTCGATTTTTCTAGGTTTTCCGTGCTACTTAAATAAACTCTGCTAGCCTGCCCCGTTTTTAACCCCTAAAAACATACCATCATTGTCATTCCCAGTCTCAGTTCCCTGATCTTCAGCGCCGCCGCATCTTCGGCCATTTTGTGTTGGTGTTGTGCCATTTCGAGCCGAGCCACCCCGGCTACCGTATCCCCAGTTATCCGTCTCGCCTCCACCAACTGTTGTCTCAGTCTCCCGTTCTCCTCCTTCAACCCGGCATAATCCGGTTGGAGCCGCAATTTTTCGGATAGGTCCGAATTCTCGGCGGCCATCCGCCGCAGTTGGTCTTTGTGGCCGGAGAGTTCGTTCTAAAAAAAAATTAAAGATGAAAATTAGTAACATTTTAATGGTCTAAAGGGACCAGCAAGTGCTAGGAGCGACCTCTGCATCAACTAGGTCTCGACAGCTGCGTTGCACTTGAAATTCCTGTCTATTCCTACCTGTCTCACTCTTTCTCGCTCTCTGCCTCTCACTCTCTCTCTCTCTCTCTCTCTCTCTCTCTCTCTCTCTCTCTCTTTCTCTCTCTCTCTCTATCTGTCTCTCTTTCTCTCTCGCAATATCTCTCGCGCCTGCACTCGCTCTCACTCCCCCTAGCCGTCTCTCTTGTTCACCTCCTCTAGGTTTCTCACTCGCACGCTTTCTCGCTCACTGGCTCTCTATCCCTCTCGATCTCTTTATCTCTCTCTTTCTCTCACTCTATCCCTCTAGCTATCTCTGACCAACCTCTATGCCTAGGAGTTGATCAAGCCGGTGGCGAAGCTCAAAGTTTTGCGAGCCGGCGTCGGCCAATTTCCTGAAAATTATGAAATATTTTTGATTTTTAGGTTTTTTTTCTTTTTTTTGGTCCTACTTGAGAAGCCTGACTTCCAGGTGCTTTTAAAACTCACTTTGTCAACTCGGTGATGCGCATCTCGAGGGTTCTGATGCGTTCCAGGCTTTCGATCCTCTCGGCCTCGACGAAGCTTTGGGCTACTCGTCGGGCTCGCTCCTCCACTTGACTGCTGCCGGCTTCTAGAAGTTCAGCTTAATTGGAAAGAAGGGGTCACTGCAGCAAAATTTCATAAGTAAGCTCTGCTATCCAGCCCCGCAAATTTGAGTATTTTTAGGTAATCCAAGTTTTTTCCTCAAAAAAAATACTCTGCCAGCTTGCCTTGTGGGGTGCCGTATAGCTTTTAAAAACCCAAATTTTTTCCATAAATAGTCTCTGCTAGCCTGGCACGACGGCAGAATTCTTCAATCGCCTTTGCTAGCCACCCTAGAGAAAAGTAAGTCCGAAAAGTTGTCATAGATTTTCCCAAATACCCTCTGCTAGCCTGCCTCAACATGATAATTCCCCAATGGTCCCTGCTAGCCTGCCACACAAAAACCCGAAAATCTGCCGTACAATTTTCAAAAATTGAAGGATACTAAAGATTTCAAATGATCTCCGCTAGCCTCGCCTGAAACATTTTTCCCAAATGGTCCTTGCTAGCCTGCCGTACGCAAATTAGAGCAGTTTAATTTTTTCTAATGATCTCTGCTAGCCAGCCCTACCTTTTCTCGCTATTCTCTCTTTCTCCAGATGCAACGCCTCTCTCTCCTCGTCCAACTTCGCTCTCCACTCCGTCTGCACAAATTCAAATTGCTCCCTGGCGTTGATGAACTCGGCGAGCCGATTTTCGAGCGCCCATCGGTCCTGCTCGAGTCGCGCTTCCTTCTCCTAAAAATGAGGGTGCACTTGCATTATCGGGGGGGGGGGCAATTTTTTTGTGTGTTAATCTAGAAATGCCCAGTAACTTAATAGTAAGTATTTTTTATGTATTTAGTGCAATAAAACCATATTTTTAACTAGAAAAACTATCTGAAAATTTCAAATTTTGGCAAAAAAGGCCATTTTTGTTCGAAAACCCGCAATTTTCTATATTTTTTAATAAAAATTTGTAAAGTTTTTACGTTTTTAGATAGTAAAAACAGTTCATAAACACTTCAGCTTATTATATTTACAAAATTGGTTGCTAAGAAAAAATGTCTTCCCCCCCCCGATAATGCGAAAGAACCAAAATGAGATAATGAAATGCTACTACGAAAATTTTTATAGTTTAAAGAGTCCGACTCGTACCCTCAACTTCAGCTCGATCGTATGCCTCAAATCCCGGTCCTTGCCGACGACAAATTCCTCGGCCCTCCGCTTCTCCCTCTCCACCTCCCGCTTCAACTCCTCGCGCTCCAGCTCGTACTCGTCGCGCAGCTCGCGCAACCGGTGTTCCACTTCGTTCTAAAGGAACTTTTTGAAGCGTTGTTTTTAAATAAATGGTGACAGGAGTAGTCAGAATCCCTGCTTGCCTGCCAGGGACAGGTTCCTTAAGAATCTCTGCCAGCTTGGCTGGCAGAAGATCCTCAAGAATCCCTGCTAGCTTGCCAAAGCAACAGATTCTTCAAGAATCACTGCTAGCTCGCCTGGGGATCCTAAACACCTCTGCTAGCTTGTCCAACAGATTCCAAAAGATCAGAGCTAGCTTGCCAGTGAAACAGGATCCAAAAATCTATGCTAGCTTTCCAGAGCAGTACCTCAAGAATCACTGCCAGTTTGCCTGGCAGAGGATCCTAAAAAACCTCTGCTAGCTAGCCCAAAAGATCCTAAATCCTATAATCCTAAATCAAAGCGAGCTTGCCAGGGAAAGAGGACCCTAAAAAACCTCTGCTAACCTGTCCCCCTAAAACCCCTAAAACCCCTAAAAAAATAAGAGCTAGCTCTAAAAGACAACCGGATCCTAAAAAGCCTCTGCCGGCTTGCCAAAGCAACAGAATCCTCAAGAGCCTCTGCCAGCTTCCCTGGAATAGACTCCTCAAGAATCCCTGCTAGCCTATCGTCAAGTCAAGGACCCAAAAAAATCCCAAATTTCCTCTGGTAGCCTGCTCGGTAACTACGGTACGTTTTAAAGGACTGCTGAAGTCAAAACTATCTAAGGTGCCTCCGAAAGAATCTCAGCTAGCCTACGGGCCTGAAGAAACATGGTAATAATATCACCCATGCAACTCCCAAAATTCTCTACTGTCTTGCCACCGCCGGAAAATTTCGATTTAAAGGGGCGCTGACGGCAAATAGCCGTCGTATTCACTTTCCACCCACCCGCTCTCTTTCTCTGACCTCTCTCGCGCGTTCCTCATATTTTCGCTCGACCTTCTTGACGATCTGCTCGGCGAGCACGCGCATCTGGTGTGGCTGATCGGTGGGGGTGCGCTGGAAATTTTTTTTTGGGTGATTAAAGTTAACGGAAAGGTATCGAAAACAGGTTCTACCCGTTTCGCCTAGGACGGGAGCTATTTTTCCTAGATCTTCTACCTATACTTTACAAATTTCATTTTAAAAAATACAAAAATATCTATTTTCGATCGAATTTCAAATTTAAGAAATTTTTAAAGTTTTAAGCTGGCTTTTCCACCTTAATTCGAGCTAAATTTTCGTGAAAACATTATTAAAATACTCTGAAATTGCAAAAAAAACTAGTTCCCTCCTGGTAATAATATCTGATCTTCTAAAGATATTTTTAGTAGTTTTTTATCTAAAAAGCTATCAAAAATGCCAAAAAATTTAATACGAAAATTTTAACTTTTTCGCCCTTTTTCATACATTTTTTGCCATAAACCCAAAATGTTTCGAAATTTTGATAATTTTCATTCGCTTTTTACATCTAAGTCTAGTGTTGTACAAAACGCCTAAAATGGGTTCGAAAAATACCCTGAAGCTTCTGCCGGCCTTGTCGACATTGGTTAACGGGACCGGTTGAGAGCCGGGCTGCGAGACGCGGGCGATCGCGCGGCCCAGAAGCGCGTCTAGGCCTTCCTGGAATTATATTATTTTATTTACGTTACGAAGTATCTATTCTTACACGATTTTATTTCTTATACATACGCACAGTTGCACAAACCAAAAAAAATTCAATTTCAAGGTATATTTATCATCTTACAATAAAAAAAACAAAAATAATGGCTAACCTTTTGTCTGCATGGCCGCTGAATCCGCTGCATTTTTGTCGAAATCTAATTTTAACTAGCGAAATAAAGCAAAAAAAAGTCAGCCGTCGTCTCGCAGCTACTATCGATCCATTTTGAAGTGTTTCTGAAAAGGATACAATTTAACAATGGTGGATATAGACTCAAAAATCATCAGGAAAACAGGGAAGTTGATGCATTTTGAACACCGTAAGCCAAAAAATACAAAGAAAATCTATTAAACTAACCTAAAATATAAATAAAAATGTATATAAGGTCTTACATAACTTAGATTTTTGCCTTATGCCGCTTCTACTATAACGCATTTCGAGCCAAAGCAAGCATTAATTTACAAAGAAAACTCGCAAAAAAGAGCAAAACAAATTTCAACACACGTAGTACTCGTTGAAATATACTAAAGTAACAGAATTCCACCAAATTCCTTTTTTAAACTACAACGTCTAGACGGCGGTCTGAAATCGGGGGCACCGATGCGTGTTTCCGCGTGTTGTTGGGGGATTACCTGGTTGCCAGCCTGAACCACCCGCGGCTACACGGCACTCCCCTGCACGCCCGGATTTGGTGGGGTAATGGCGCGTCAAGGGGCCTTATCGGGACAAACATTGCACGCATAATGGATTGTTATCGGGTGGTCGGGAATTAAACTATGGGACACTTTACTTGGTTAGGGGGCAGAGAGGAGGAGAGGAAGAGAGGGAGAGAGGGAAAGAGGGAGAGAGGGAGAGAGAGACAGAGAGCCAGTGTGAAAGATAGAGAGCGAATGAGTGACTGATAGATCGAGAGGGAGCGTGAGCGAGAAAAAAAGCGGCAGACACGAGTGAGTGAGTGAGTGTGAGAGAAAGAGAGAGCAAGAGAGATGGATAGAGACAGAGAGAGAGAGAGAGAGAGAGAGAGAGAGAGAGAGCGAGATTGCCAGAGATAACCAAAGTCATATGAATCTCGACAGCTACGCTACACGCCAAATAACCCGTGCAATTACAAGATCATCTTGACCGAATTCGGCCGTTTCCCAGTTGCTTAAAAGATTGTAGGGCTGCGATTTACGACTGTATTTGGAGTGTTGCGTAGCTGACGAGACCTAGTTCCCGCATGGGGGTCTTTTCGTGCTTTCCGGTCATTCACGGCTTCAATTTCTCGGTGTATTTCAATTCCTCAGAGCGTCTGACAAATGGAATACAAATAAAATTGTTTATTAGCCAAAAAGCATAAAAAATATAATTTTTCGGGGATCCAGCTCAGCCGAGGTACTGTAATAAACATTAAGAAAACTTAAAAAAATTGCCGTACCCCCAGCGAGTCCTGCCCAATTTTGTACGTCGTACCGTAGGGGGACCAGCGACCCTGAAAATGTCATTTTTTGAACATTACAAAAATTTACATAGTCTTGCGCGTATCCACCGCCGCTACCGTATCCTAAAAAAGTGAAAAAATCCGGTTGAATGATCAATTTTCATTACCGTATGCCGTGGCCTGGGTACTGTAGGTTTGGCTACCGTAGCCGGCACCTAAAAAATATTCATATTTTTGAAGCTGAATCGTGAAAAAATCGGAAAATTACAGTAGGCCTAGTAAAAAGCCGAATTCAATGCCTATAAAATTTTTTGATGTGTTTAAAAGATTGAAAGCTACGGTACTCGGATACGGTAAAAATAATTTATAAAAAAGTGATATTTTCATTACCGTATCCGCTACCGTAACCCGAGTACATTGGCGTCGATTGGCCAAATCCACCAATTGCGGATCCGCCGCCACCGGATGTGCCGGAATTTCCAGAATTTCCTGAAAAAATGGTTTTTGTTAGGGACTAGAGCGTCCCTTTAAAAGGATACGGCAAGGTACGTTAGGCTACGGTAGGCAAAAATCTATACCGTATAGAATAATCGGTCCCAGCGCCGGGTTGACGGGCACCGGACCGGAAGCTGTCAAATAGACGAGGTCATCAGAGGCAGCGCTGGCTTGCGGCTGGGCTAAAAAAGGGGGCAGGCTAGCAGAGATTCTTTATAGGAGCCAGGAGGGTTGCCTAGTGAGCGCATTTTGTTTTCCCTAGTTGTCAGCGCTCTTCGCAACGAAAACAATTTACCGGTGCTGTTACATTAGTCGGGACCCACCACGCTTAGCTTGGGCTTAGGCTTAGGCTTGGGCTTAGGCTTGGGCTCAGACTTAGGTTTGGGCTTAGCCTTAAGCTTAAACTTAGGCTCAGGCCTGGCTTAGGCTTTGGCTGTACTTAGGTTTAAGCTTCGGCACAGGCTCAGGCTCAGGTTTGGGCTTAGGCTTAGGCTTAGGCCGAGGCATAGGCTTAGGTTTAGTCTCAGGCTCAGACATAGACCTAGACTTAGACTTATGCTGACAAGGAGTGCCTTTTGAGTGTCATCGGCAAATCCCTTCGAGACCTAGCTCATTCGATAGAGAATTGAATCCTGAACAACCTCTCGGCGTCCATTTTTGCAGAATGCCTTTCTTTGATTTTATAAAATTAAAAACTAAAAAGATAATTTTTGCGTCCACGTCGGCACGTTGCTGCCCGAGGGAGCCCCAAGGGGAAGAGGCCCTCCGGTCCCTTCTTCCCACCGCTAGACGTGGCGCAGTCGCTAGAGCGTCGGTCTTCCAAACTTTTTTTGCTTCGGGTTGCTAGTTCGATTCCGTTATTGGTAATTACTTTTGCTTTTTGTTTTTAAAACACTTTTGTGACTTTCAGAGAGTTTTAAGAATCTGAATAATTGAAATTGGCCGTCACAGTCCCAGAGAAGTTTTGACCAGAGAAATGTCCTGATTTCTTGTCCTAGCCCAACGTGGAAACGTTGCTAATGCCTCCACCATGACCCAGAAATGCCTAAAAGGTGTGGAAATATCATCAACGTTCAAAACGCAAAAGAAAACACGCATAAAAGAACCGAACCTTCAACCAAAGGCAAAAAGAAACTTCGTAGGCAGATGCGTTAACCGCTGCGCCATCGGCGATGATTGGTGAGGGCGCACCCGTGGGCACTTCACCTAGGGCTGCCGGCGGCTTGTCTGGCGACAGCAACCGAGGAACGATCTGGGATTTTCGCACGCTAGTTTTTTAATTTTATAAAATCAGGAAAAGCCATTCTGCAAAAATGAACGACGAGGGGTTGTTCAGAATTCAATTCTCTATCGAATGAGCTAGGTCTCGGAGCGATTTGCCGATGACACCCAAAAGGCACTCCTTGTGAGGCTTATGCTTCGTTTAGGCTTAATGTTAGGCTTAAGCCGAGGCTTGGGCTTAGCTTTGGCTTGGGCAAAGCTAATTCCAGAATTTTGCTGCCCCTCAAGCCCGTCGAGTCACCGGGAAAATTGTAGAATTTTGGAGCTGATCAGGGAACAGGCAAACTGGCAGAGTTCTTTTGGGACACAAAGCTGTGGATTTTGCGCATACCGTAATATACCGGACGTTGCGGTTGGTACTGTGGTTGTGGGCGGTAGGCTGGGCGGTACTGGTAGGTGGGCTAAAATGTTGGAGGAGATGGCGATGTTTCTCTCTCTCACTCTGTCTCTCTCTCACTCTGTCTCTCTCTCGCTCGCTCTCTCACTCTTACTCTATGTCCTCACCTGATAATACACTGGTCGGCGATACGATGCCCGGTAGGCATTTGGCTAAATTGTCCGTAATTTCTCAGGGTACGAGGAAGCGCTAGATTTGGCAACCTGAGCAAGAACTTCGCCGTCCCTACCCCTTTCATGTCAAAATACAGTACCTGAGCACGGTAGCTACTGGGCTGCGGTACGACGGCATACGGAGCCGTTTGGGGCTCCGGAATTTGCGGAGCCTGAGGGACCGGATCTGGGGGCGAAGCCGGCGGTTGTGGTGGCTGAAATGGAGCCGCCGTCACCGGCAAGTTCTCAAAGTTGTCGGCCACGGCTACTGGGTCGAAGGGGGCGGCAGTGGTGGTGATTATTTCCTCCCAGCTGGGTGTCTGGAAGGTGTTTGAAGTTAGAAAGTGTGATCTTTCGTTCAAACGCTCTCACTCTCTCGCTCGCGCTCTTTCTCTCTCTCTCTCTCTCTCTCTCTCTCTCTTATCCTGCTTCCTCGCTTTTGCCATTACTCTTTCTCACTATCTCGATCTCGCACTCCACACGCTCTCACTCCCCCTCTCTCTCTCTCTCTCTCTCTCTCTCTCTCTCTCTCTCTCTCTCTCTCTCTCTCCCGCTCTCTCTCTTTCTCTCACCTCTGTCTGATCAGTACCAATCGGAATTGGTGGCGCCTCTGTTGTTGGGGTCGTTTGGTCCGTATGAAATTTTGTGGAAATCCCCTAAAAGCGAGTATTTCCGGGTTATAAAGTTGCTACGTCAAAATCGTCGAATATCCCATCATCCTCACTCTGGTGGAAGTGCTGAAATCAGAAAATTTGAACTGTCAAAAAACTGTTGACTTTTGTGTATCTTTAAAGGGCCTAGGAAGCTCGAGAATCGACCCCTTCCGTCGGCTAGCGTCCGACGCGCAAAATGAAACGTTTATAGCGTAATTTTTCATATGCCATAGGGCCTATGTGACGAAAGTCAAGATTTGCGGGCATGCGAGTTTTGGAGTGCCGCGTAGCTGTCGAGACCTAGTCGATGGAAAGGGATGGAAATTTTCGGGGACGTTGCGACCCTTTAGCCTAAATTATGGAAGTAGTGGTTACTGTAGTTCCGCGTCCATCGACGTCGTCTGCCGCTCTCTGACGGTAAATTCTGAAAACAAAAAATTTATACAAAACCCTTTGAAAATCGATCGTTTTTACAGGGACGAGCAAGTCCGAGCTGTGGATTTTGTTGGCGATAGCTTTCTTATAGCTTTTTTCCAGAACGACGACACGCAACGCGTAAGCCTGGAATTGATTACCCTATGGAAATTCCGGAGGGTGCGTCGCGTGTCGTGGCGCGGGAAAATCCGTAAGTTATCTATAGACTTCCAAGCGTGGTGACTTGCCCGTCCCTTTATTTACGAATTCATAAAATTTTTCAGGATTTTAGGCTCACCTCGCCTCGGCAATAACAATAAAATACAGTAGGAAAGGTATCGAACGATAATATTTCATTATAGCGGAAAGTTCTTAGAAAAATCAATGAAAAACGGTAAATATGGGCAGTTTGGGGTTTTTTTTTTGAAAACTAGTTGATGGTGGAGGGTCGGACCTTCTCTCTCTCTCTCTCTCTCTCTCTCTCTCTCTCTCTCTCTCTCTCGTTCTCTCTCTTCCCCGAAAAATTGTTCCGCGCGCAAGGTGCCAGTGTTAGCAGTTCAAGGATAAACAGCACGCGTCCCCCGGGATCTGAGTTGATAAGGGAAAACACCGCCCTGTTTTGGAACTGATTTTAAAGGGCCGAGCAAGGCATGACCGGGGGATTTTCTCGGCTATGGATCGCATAGAAATTTAGCGACGCTGCGACATGTAGTGTGACACACCGCGCCCTAAAACTTTTTCCCTGTCGAGCCAGGTTGGCCTGGTAACAGAAAATAACGTGTTTTTGCCGTTTTAGGAAGGTTCTTTCGCATTATCGGGGGGAGAGATCATTATCGCTAAAAATACAAAAATTCGAACCGAAATGGCTGGTTTCTACTTCAATTTTTGCTCGGTTTCTGTGCTTTTTCCACTTAAAACCTAGCTACATTTGGCTCAAGTCTAGGAAACCCCCCCAGCCGACTTTTCAACTTTTCTACCTTCCTTATTTTTATTTTTCACTATTTTTTTCGACTTAACTGCAATGTAGTCTTACTAATTAGCCTACGGCGAACATTTTGGTATACTTTAGAGCTGGCTAGCACAAAGGGGGGCCGAGATACAAACGTTGGTGCCGGCTGGGGGGTTCTAGACACTTACCCTACATTTTGCTAAAAACATAATTAAAATGCGTAGTATTGCGATACTAGGCATTTCTGGGCTTATAGAAAAAAAAATGGGTCCGCTCGATAGCGCGAAAGAACCTTTAGTAAAGCTATATTTGAAATGGAAGCACTATCGAAAAGCTTAGAAAATGCTGAAGACGTTCACATTTAATTGGGGTAGACAAAAAAAATCAATATTGCCACCCAAAACCAAATTTTTCATAAAATTTGCAAAGTTTTGATTCTTTGGAACGGCTGAAAATCATGTACAAACTTTTCTGTGTGCTGTTTGTAAGGAGAAAAAGCTGAAAACATCGCAAAGCGCAAAAATTAGAAAGTGTAATTTGCATTTTCCGACGGAAGCTGGGTCAATTTGCATATTTAGCTCACCCATAGGCAAAATCCAGCGCTGTGACAATCACTTTTGCTCTCCATCCAGCTGATGTTCGGTCGTCGACACAACAACGGCGGTGGCGTGGTGGTCGTGTGGCTGCTCTTCAGCCTTCTCCACGCATCGCCCTCCTCGTCTTTCGGCGCGTCTCAACACATCATCGACAGCAAGTCGTGGGTTTCGAGTTTGGGTTAGAGTTCAGTTTACCCGCCCCCCCCAGCCGGCACCAAACTCTTGTATCTCGGCACCTTGTTCAGCTACAGGTGTATAAAGTAAACCAAAATGTTCGTCTCGATCTGGCGAGTATTTTGGTATATTGAGAACACCTGTAGATGAACAGGAAACCAAGATACGGTAGGTTGGGGGGTTGGCTGAGGGGGTATCTGGAGTCTTACCAAAATTTCTGGCTCGGGCCTAGGCTTCCGCTCGAGTTTCTTGCCAACCAACACCATTCCAGACCTCTCGGGAATGTGGCAGCGGAACCGGAAGCTGCCCACGAGATGCTCGGCAACATGAGGGGTCCGGCACCGGGGCTCTCGATGAATGGTCCAGGGCGAGTGAAACGTGAAGCCGTGCGTTTCCTTTAACTACAGGATTTTTCGGAGCTGTTTAGTGCGAAAACTCGGAGACTCCTTTCGTGTGCGTGGCAAAGTCTATCTTGGACCAGCAGAACCTGCGGCATAAACTTGAAAATATCAAGGTTTGAGAAGCGACTGTACGACACGCTATGTAATTCAGTGCCCTGACTGTACGATACCGGAGTGCAAAAAGCACGACCAGACACGCTGGAAATTTGGGTCGGTGAACGAGGGTGTCCAGCCACTCACGATGTGCAATCCGACCAGCATTCTCTGTGTAAGTACCTTTTACGGCTGAAAAAGGACTTTTTCGTACAGAGGTGTCGACTTGGTTCGCTAAGTGTTTTGGTATAATTCACAGCCTTGTAGGATAAAAGGGAGCCGAGATACTGTATGTTGGTATTGGCCGGGGGACCATCTATAGTTGAGCAGAATCTAGAATATTATTTTTTGAGAAATGTGCTGGTAAGCTACTTCTTTTTCCTATAGCTATTTTAGGTATATGTCGGCTACGCGGGGGAATTTTACGCGGGGGGGACGGGACAGGCAGGCCTTTTTCGATGTTTTCGTGATTTTCTCGGAATTTTTGCAACGGCATTCGATAAAGCATCGAAAAATATACTAAGAGTTTTTGTTTTAGCTCAATTTAGTGTAATATAAAAAAGTTATAGCAAATACAAAAATAAGCTTTGAAAATCGGTTTTAGCGGCTGTTTTTCGACATTCGCGCTATTTTTTCGACATTTTAAAGATGCCATTCGACAGAGCATCCAAAAATATACTAAGAGTTTTAATTTTGGCTCAAAATAATGTAATATAAAATAGTTATAACAAAAACAAGTATTAAACGTTGTTTTCATGGAGGATAAAGAAGGAAATCAAGTTTTCGACATTTTCGACATTTTTACAAAATTTCTTTATTGCCATTCGACAGAGCGTCGAAAAATATACTAAGAGTTTTGTTTGTAGCAAAAAGAAGCGCAAAAAAATAGTTAGCCCGGTCCCAACAGTCCGTCCCCCCGCGTAGCCGACATATACCGCTATTTTAAAATACGCTATTATTATGAGTTGTAATTCAAACTCTGAGTATAGTTTTTGACGCTCTTTCGCATGACGTTCAAGCAATTTCGTAAAAATAACGAAATGACGAAAAGCAGCTTTCGACCCTAGGCTCACATATGAAAAACGGCGGTGAAAACCTATTTTGAAATTTTATTATATTTTATATTACGCCGTTTTGAGATCACATTGAGACTACAAGTGGATTTTACCGAATGGTGTCTTCAAAATATTGAAAAAATAGCGAAAGTATCGAAAACTAGCATGCCTCCCCCAGTTTCCAAAGGGATTTCTTTAAAGGGGCTCCGAAATGCCAAATCAAAGCCCTTTTGGGAGGCCTCTTTGATTTCTGGCGAATTGCCAGCGGGCGCTGCGGGACCAGAGCACTCACTCTTTCGATCTTTGCGCGAAACTGTTTTTGCCCGGTTTCTTTGTGAAAACACTATAATTTGCGCATTCTGAGCCCATTTTTGAAATCCTCACTTAATTTTAAATAGTTTTGGTGTTTTAAGCATCAAGTTTGGTCCAGAAACAGCCGAGAACGTGATTTCGAGGTGACAACAGGCAATTTCAAATTTGCGAGCTTCCCGGGCCCCTGGGTGTACAGAGGCCTCCGACGTACAGAGCTCCGATTTTCGGGCGTCACTGAATTTTTGGCATTTCGTAGCCCCTTTAAGAAGAAAAGATGGACCTTCCCTTCGAAAAGGCACTCCTTATTAGCTTCCCCCCCCCCCCTCCCCCGCCCGGCCTCGCAAATACCCATGAAACAATGGCGGTGTACTCAGTTTCTGGCCTCCGTTTAATGATTCAAATTAGACTGAGGACAACGGCGAGAACTGTCTGCGCCCGGTCAAGCTTGGATCCGGAAGCGATGGTGGGACCTTTTAGCTAGATCTATAACAGTATTCGAGCTTAAGCTACTCGTACTTTTACTCTTTAACTCAAGTTTGAATACTAGGCCGCGTATTGTATGCTACGCGGCCTTATATTTTGATTGTAGAATACTGGATGCTGTTTCCCGTCAATGTTTGCACTCGTGAAATGGTCCGCAATGGCGAGTGTCCCATGGAGAAACTGTTCGTTCCTTTCTTTCTGCGGTGTACCGACACGGTTCTTGCTTCAGGAGCAGCGACCCCTATGACTTCATCAAGCTGGAATACTCGACCGCGTATTTTATGCAATGTGACGACAGCTGGATCCTGCCCTCGTGGGTGTCTTTGGAAGATTCGCTGGAGCCCCTGATCCGCTTTTTTTGCACACGTCGTTTCAGAACGGCCGGCGAATCCGGATGCATCCCAAGTTTGCACGTAGCGGGAGGCCTCGCACCGGACGACCCGGAAGTATTCCCCGGTGAAGTCAAAGATCTCGACTACAACAGGATCAAGGATAAGGTTGCCACCGATTTACGGACACACCATTAACGTTCGGCCTTTTAGTTTTGTCGTGTGGGTGTTCCGGCGACAGGCGACTGTATTCTGCCTCCCCTTTCCGGGTTTAAGTGAGTTAAAACCAAAACTTTTCTTTTTTCTTAAACCTTTTTTTTTCTTAACCTAAGTATTTGACTAAACTCTCGTTTACCTAAGATAAATAACTTTATAAAGGAGCAACAGTTGTTTCCAAGCATTTTCGATTGCGTGTCCGCGAAACAACGAAAATTCCAGGCTGCCGAAGCGTCTTGAAGACGCTGGCTTCAAGGAGGCGATGGTAACCCCGTGCAGCTACAAACAGCGCGGCGAGAAGATTGAAAAGGATTGCGTGTTGCTGGACCTGATGATGGACGGCAAGGTGGTGATTGCCGATCGGAATGGGGTGGGTGCTTGTTTCCTGGAGTTTTTTACTAGGATCCGGTCCATTAAACGTTAGCTTTCCAGTATCTACCTGAAATCCCTCCATTTCAGCATGGCCCGTATGCGACGCTACAATCCCGAAACGACAGCCTGACGATGACCTGGAAGGTCGATAACCAATACCCGTACAGCTTCCCCCGTTGTATCGATCTGTCCAACCAAGTCGGCCTGCCGGTATCGGTCTCGGTTTTAGCCCGCACCGCGCTAACTTTTCAGGAAAATCACTTTGACACGGCCGTCAGCGACAGCTTTCTAAACTGCGCCAAGAACCCCTACTACGCGAGGGCGAAGGTGTGGCAGATCACCATCGACAGCGTCGAGCCGTTCAATTGCAACACGGACAAGGAGCTCCGCCGGGTACGTGATATGATAGACGTGGGCCCTAGCTAGTTACTAATTGCCGGCTTGGTACTAGGCCAAGCTCGCCCGAACCGCGATCATTTAGGGGCGCAACAGCATAGCGTAAGTTTTTGCATTTGCTCGACAGGGTGTCCCAAAAAATCAGCCTTCTCTAGCGGTCGAACAATCTCCGAACGGGGTAAAATCTAGATACAAAGCAAAAACGCCAAGAATAACAGCGCCGCGGGCAAGAAAAGTGGAATCAAACTACAATGAAACCAGCGCCGCATGCGAAAAAAATTTCGGGAACAAAATGCTGAGGGGCTTTTCTATTTTTCTTTTTTTTTCAGCTAGCTGGCCCGCTCGGAAGCTTTTACCCTAACTTACGCAAGCCTCTCAAATCATAGTTTCTGGTTTCAGCTCCTCTGTCGTTCTACCAACCCGAACCTGACCTCCGCTGCCTCGACGCCAAAACCTCCCGCCCGCTCTCCCATCCTCGGTTATATTTCCTGGTTCGAGTGGTGGACATGCGGCTGCTTTTTCCTCGTTGGCTTCCTCGGCCGTAGGTTTTCCCGGCACCGACGTCCATGTGCTATCCTACTATATAGAAAACAACCCGAACAAACAAACAGGCCGTTTTTGATATCGAACATTGGATTTTTGAAAAATCCGCGGCCACGCAATCTCTTTGTTTCGAAACAATTACCATACGCCGGATCGGGCATAGCTTATATAAAGCGACAGCGGCGTCGTGTTTTAGTTTTTTTTGTTGCTAGAGTACCAGAAGAAGAGGTTAAGTGAAAAAGCCCCGTAAATCTGTGGAAGATCATTTGGTAGCCAAAAAATTTTTTGGCATTTCGGGGGCCCTTTTAAGGGGTTTTTTTCCGCGACGTAACGTTTGTGATTATATCGATTCAGCGCTACTCGGGTTCGTTTACATCGCCGTGCGATTACGCTCGATCCCAATGCCGGCGCTGGATGCAAAAGCAAAGTGGAAGCTCCCGTCCAAGAAGGCGCTGGCTGCCATCGACAAATTTGTGAAAGAAGCTGCAACTAAATGTGTATGGTCTTTTTTTTACTGATTGACCACATTTCCCGGGGGAAACCAAATTTTTTCCTGGTTTTCCCGGTTGACCTTTCCGAAATTCCACCCTATCCGCGTGAGATCACCTTGTTATTTTAAGCATAGCTTCGACTCGGTTTTCAATGTGGCTAAAGCAATGCTTAAGCGTGGCTTATTAGCCTATGTGCATACTTAAAAACTAAGAGTAGTTTAAAGCTTATTGGCACCTTGGACCAGCACGTGCCCACCGGTCTGAATTTGCAGTCGGGCTCGCTTTGTTGCTTGATTGTTGATCATTGCTTTTAGGTGGACCTTGATTTCCCTTTGCTGCCGCCGGACAATGAATGCAAAGAGTTTATTGCGCACAAAGACCAGAACCGCAACCAGGTAACCGCTACTGCAAAAACAATCGTTCCAAGCCGTAGTTCTAGCCGGGGCCCTTGATTTTTTGCGAGGGCGACTGTTGAAAGCCACTTAGCGACTTTTCAACTCCGGACCATCTGATTCCCTCATATTTTTCAGTTCGCAACTCCCCCAATTGCGATTTGAAAAAAGAAAGCGCAGTCTTTGTCTCTAACTGGTCTGTTAGCGGGGGATATGAGAGATTTATGATGTTTTTGGTGGTTTTTGATTGCTGGAAAGTGATCCTACTATATATAAAAAAATAGTGTTTGTGTGTGTGTGTGATACTTTGCATACAACTTCCGTCACCATGTCCGGAGGACATCTCGATAGGGAATAACTTTTAAGGTATATATGATACGTCATTAGATGCGTAATGGCTCTGGGATGACTGCACGCTTATCAGATTTTACAAAACTAATTGTTTTAAATATTAAACTTTTTTTACTTTTTGTAAAATCTGATATTAGTGCAGTCGTGTCATGACCACACACACACACACACACACACACACACACACACACACACACACACACACACACACACACACACACACACACACACACACACACACACACACACACACACACACACACACACACACACACACACACACACACACACACACACACACACACACACACACACACACACACACACACACACACACACACACACACACACACACACACACACACACACACACACACACACACACACACACACACACACACACACACACACACACACACACACACACACACACACACACACACACACACACACACACACACACACACACACACACACACACACACACACACACACACACACACACACACACACACACACACACACACACACACACACACACACACACACACACACACACACACACACACACACACACACACACACACACACACACACACACACACACACACACACACACACACACACACACACACACACACACACACACACACACACACACACACACACACACACACACACACACACACACACACACACACACACACACACACACACACACACACACACACACACACACACACACACACACACACACACACACACACACACACACACACACACACACACACACACACACACATTTTTTTATACAGGGTGTCCCAAACCCCCCTAGCCGGCCGCAGACTTGTTCGATTTTTGCGATTTAGGTATCTATCGAAAGCTCTCGGAAAGGCGAGTCCAGCACGTCTCTCGGATTCTCAAATTATCGAAATTTTTCTAGCATTTACTAACATTTTTGCGAAATGGATAGATTTTCTTAGGATTTTCAGACCAAGGGTTTTTTTTAGAAAAATCACAATTTAAGGATTTTTACCTCCTTCCTGGGAGTCCAACAACAGCTTTTGGAAAGCCGTTTGCGAAAACACAGTTTGGATGGCGCTTAAGCCGGTTAAATTTAGTTTTTGACAAAATGCTTGCTCTTTTTGCCTAAAAAATGGTCAAAATCGAGCAAAAAATTCAGGAATTTCGAAAATCCGAGAGACGTGCTGGACTCGCCTTTCCGAGAGCTTTCGATAGATACCTAAATCGCAAAAATTGAACAAGTCTGCGGCCGGCTAGGGGGGGGGGGGGATTTTTTTTGGGACACCCTGTATATAGTAGGATGTCGATTTTTCGACTGGATTTCAGTTTATGTAAAAATTTCGGCCACCCTCTTTGTTAGGAAACAATTAGCATGCACCGGAAGTGGCGGTAGCCTTTATAATCAGGTAGAGAGTGCCATTTTTCATTTTTTCTCATCGCAATTCGAAAGAAATAGGCAAAGCGAAGAATTTTATGGGGTTGGACGGGGCCAGGGTTGAAAAGTCGCGAAGCGAAGGCGAATGCGCCGCCTAACGATCAGCTGTCTATGCCCCAACACCCTGTATCTTCCGACCAACTATACATTGTTTCCAGTTGGCACGGATCAAAGACAAATTTCTGTACAAAATTGATGGCTGCCCTGACCTTTACATCGCTGCCACCAAAGGTTTCCGGCTGAAAGGTATGGGGGTCGATCGAACACCGATGAATACCCGCGAAAAAAACTCACGTCCTTTTGGGTCGGTTCAGCTGCGAACTTCGGACGGAGGGGTGGAAAGACCTGTGTTTCTTCTGAAGTTCTCATGTGTTTTTAGTGGTGCTGTGGCATCTCGCGCACCCCATCCGTGCTGGCATATAGCGAGACATGGCCGCTCCACATTGCCATGTTCCCTAGCCCCTGCTCGTACCTAAAAAATGCGAAAATTTGCAAATTCCGAGGCCATCCCTGCGACCCTCCAGACATCCTATAGACATAACAGGGTGTCCCAATCAAAAAAGCACCCCTTCTAACTCGACGTAGAAGTATCGGACCGGAGTGATAGTTACACCATTCGAAAGCCCGTGAAACGGTGAGCTTGCAGCAATCGTCAAAACCTTGTTGTTATTGAAAGGCGCTATTTTACAAGCTTTTTTGTAAAGTATTGATTTTTCGGGGTTGCATACGAGCTAATGTGCCTCAATTTTGCCAAGCAAAACGACCGGAACTAGCCGCTAATTAGATGCAGAGGTCGTTCCTTATTATTTTTGAAGTGTGTATAAATAATAGTTACAGTCGCTTCGCGACTGCACCAGCTGGCCTTCGGGCTACCCTACATGTCCTACTCCACCATATCCTTCCGCATGAGCATCACTGTGGCGGTGGTAACGGAGACACGGCAGTGAGTGAACGCGCCGTGGCACCGCTAAACGGCCACGCACAGCTATGTCTCTGCTAACAGCAGACTCACTTATGGGTCATGCTGGCAGAGTACTTCGGGGAGTCCGGCAGTCCGAAGTGTGTCTGGGACGGGGTCCGGGTTAAACTCGAGTCCTGAAATCGCCACCCCTACTTCAAGGCCCATCCAGTCTATTTGCATGAGCAATTTAGGTTGCGACGTGGAGTGGATGACCACACAGGCACCCCTATCCCACACATGCGAGACCTTTTGGCTCATGATCGAATCCCTGGTAAGTGATTGCTAACAGTGAAGTGTTTTTATTCAGGCTGGAACTTTGAAATGAAACCAAGCCTATCCTGCGCAGAATTTTGCGCTGATTCCGATTCTGGTTTCAAAAGTTGCGGAATGACAATTTTTGAAAAATTACAACGTTATTTAGTGTGCTACAATGTAAAAAGACGCAAATTACAATGATAAATACTTGATTTGAGAATGGGTGCCACAACACAAAGTTGAGAAGCAAAGGGGTTTGGCTTTTGATTACGCGATTAAGCGTCGACAAGATACCACATCTAAAAGCCCATATTTTGGAGTAAAACGCGTTATTGAACGCTTCCGGGAATCGTTATTGATTCCCCGATTTCTAGAGACGAAATCATATTTATCGCAAAAAAAGAGCAAAAAGAAATTCAGCTTCTGGGAGGGGGCTGGGATTGAACTCGGGTCGTTCGCCTGGGACCGGACGGCGCCCACTAGTGGCTGTCCGGTGCCCCCAGGGTTCGATCGCGGCAAATCGCCAGTTCCGCGTACGCACGTAGGGAGGGAATTTCTTTTTGCTCTTTCTTGCCTTTGGTTTTTTGTTGGTTTTATATGGGGCTCTATTTACGTATGTTCGATAATAAGCTTTCGTATAAATTTTGTGATGGTTTTTCTTGATGTTAGAAAAGCCAATTTTTCGTCATGATGGAAAGTTTGCTGCATCCTATAAAATACACCATTCGATGCAGAAAATTTTTGCGCATCTTTTGGTGTTACTTTCAGCTTACAACAAGCTTTCCATCATGAAGAAAACCCGGAAAAACTGTTTTGAATACGCCATATTCCTATGTTCTGGCCATTTTCGTGCTTCAAAATGTATTACAAAAATGATCAGCGCCCCAAGCTAGGTATTATCCCGAGGTTTCAATCAGTTCCGCCCAGGGTTGGTCACGATGATCGGGGGGTCCGCGTCCGTCCGCGTCCGTCCGCGTCCGGACGCGTCCGGACGCGGACGCAACGGACGCTACAGAGTCCGCCGGACGCCGGAAGGTCCGCGATGCAAAGCACAAAAGCGGATGCTAATTCAGGTGTCCCTGGTTTAGGAAAGCGTAGGATCATAATCTGACTTGCATCCTTGACGTTGACTTAGAATAAAACACAAAAATTACTGTCACTGTCCAAGGGAAAGCGCTAAAAAGTTTGAGCAAACGAAAAGCTTTGAGATTTTAGTGCAATGTTCCATTGTTCTTGACGTTTAGTACTAGTTTCGTCGTTTCCGACTTGCTTTTGTGTGACTATTTCGACAACTGACGATTATTTTTTGTCATAATCCAAGTCGACACGAAATATTCAAATTAGGTATGTGGCGATGCGCCTTCCTAAGCCGCAGACTATTGAATTAACATGGTTATCTGCACTTTGCATCGCGGACCTTCCGGCGTCCGGCGGACTCTTTAGCGTCCGTCCGGTCCGGACGCGTCCGGACCCGTCCGCAATTTGCATACATGGTCCGGACCCGTCCGGACGCGGACGGACGCGGACGGACTTTCGATCATCATGACCAACCCTGGTTCCGCCCAGTGAGCTCCGAGATCGTTTTTCGCGGTACGCAAGTTTAACGGCCATTTAAGCCCCAAAAACAAACTTTTTAAACTTTCGAAACTATGCAGTCCTACTAATTCGACTATGCTCTTTCACATGGCATCGAAAAAACCGGGTCGAAAAAACTGTGCCAGGCCTTGTTCGGATGGCTCGCAAACGGCCTTTTAAAGTCAATGTTTTTAACGCAGAAATTAGCAAGTCAAGGAATGGTGCATTTCGGCGCATTTTTCGATCTGCTAAAATTGACTAAAAGCCTGCTTCAAAAATAAGCTAATTACACAAAAAGAAAGAAGAATACAAACTCGTTCCAAGTGCAATAGGTAACCTGTAAAGGTACCTAGCCATCGTGAGCAAAATCGAGCTCAAAGGAGAGCGGCGATTTTCATTCTAACTCATTAACTCGGAGCAATGTGAACGTCGAAAATAAATGAATGCAAGTACCTGATAGAGAAAAAAAAGCTCTTTCGAATGATATATAACACTCGCCCCAAAGTCCTCAGGTATGACAAGCAGCGAGCTGAGAAAAAAAGCGCAGAGACTTACGTTCCAACCCAATAATTACCGGTTTTCACCAAAATTCGATCGAAATTTATGCTTACCCGACGCAGCTATCTTCCAATTTAGATAAAAAAGCACGGCGGCGCCCCCGTACCCATCATCTCCCTGGATGCCTTTGACCCGGTCCTGGAGGGGGACGCTTGGTATCCCGACGTGCACAAGAAAGCCGCTGTTGTTGTTGAGGGGGATACTAACTGTCGGTTCCTTCTGTTCGGCAAGATGAAGCCGACGGCTGTCGAGGTCAGCAGTGTTTCGAGGCGCCCGGGATACAGGGCGTCCCAATAAAAAACGCCCCCCCCCCCCTCCAACTCAACGGAAAAATATCGGACCGGAAGATCAGCTACACCATTCGAAAGCCCATTAATCGGCTTTTCGAATGTTGTAACTATCGTTCCGATCCGTTAATTCTGCGTCAAGTTAGAGGAAGGGGGTGTTTTTTTTCTTGGGGCACTGTCAGATCAAAGTTTGCATCTGTAAACGGCGTCTATTTTTCTGGTCAGATGGAACGAGTCGCGACGGTGCGAAATATCCACATCGCCAATCTGCGAGCCGAAGGGTACCCGGCGAAGGGATTGGGAGACCTTACCAACGTCTATCTCATCTGCAAGCATCACATGGCCAAAGATGCGGAATACAGAGCCGGCGAGGGTGAGGTTGCTATTCGACAGACAGACAGACAGACAGACACACAGACACACAGACAGACACACCTCCCCCCACCCACACCCACACCCACACACCCCCAGTGGATAGTAGATACATCGTAGGACCGTGGTCGAAAAAAGGACACCGTGCCTAACAAAAAGCAATCTACCTGAATTGATTTTTAGTGAATGGCGTTGACCCGCTCAACGGAGTGTATCTTCAGAACCTCCTATTGTGCCGCGCATATCTCGAGACCATGAGATATGCTGACTCGGTCAGTATTTATACCACGACAGGAATACTACATGGGAGCCTACGCCTTTTTTATATATTTTGAAAGACTTCTTGCCGGGTTTGAAAAAAGTCCATTTATGACAATTTTGAGGAGCCCTCTTCGTTTTGGCGCCACGTTGCGATGACAGAATCCTTCAAAATTCCGGTGAAATCGGCGAATTAAGCCTCTTTTGCGGTGAAATTTCGGCTGCCCACCGTTAGAAGGCGGCCAAACGCCGAGGGGGATTTTGTGGAGACCCTCTGTAGATGAGGCATACATCAACGAGCATTCCTTATCCTTGTAACATCGCTTACAGGATGGCGTTGACTTTTACCTCCTGCAATCTTCCACTGGCGCCGGCCCTGCAGCCATTTACATCGCCGTCTACGTCACCATCGAGCGACTGCGGAAGGGGATCGAAACCACGGTCTGTTTCGGAGAGTTTTACCAAGAAAGAGCAAAGGAATACAGAGGCCTAGCATGCTGTGTATGTAGGAACAATGACGTCGAATTTAATATCGAAAACCGGGGCTGGTGCCCAAGTACCCTGGCCCAGACGCTCGCGTGAACAAATAAAATAATGATCTGGCGACGGAGAATTTCGAACCAGAGGCTTGATTTCGCAACGACTTCAACAAGCGCGTTATATTTTTGTTTTTAATGAAACTATATAATGCCAAGTCTGCCTGCACTATATCCTACTATATATAAAAAAAATAATGTCTGTGTGTATGTGTGCCACTTTGCATCGGGTGAACGTCATTACTTCGAAAGTCATTACTTCGAAAGTCATTACTTCGAAAGTCATTACTTCGAAAAGTCATTTCTTCGAAAAGTCATTACTTCGAAAAGTCATTTCTTCGAAAAGTCATTACTTCGAAAAGTCATTACTTCGAAAAGTCATTTCTTCGAAAAGCCATTACTTCGAAACGTCATTACTTCGAAAGGTCATTACTTCGAAAAATATGCTAATTTGGAATGTTCATATTACGAAATTCATGACACTGACGATAAAACCATTGCGTAGGTACCATATGCCTTCTATTAAGGTTATTACTGTGTAGAGTTTCGGTCTGTATTAGGATTGTTAGTTACCCCATCGCTACGAATTATTTATTTGTTATAATGATCCTTGCATTCAATCACTGAAGCATCACGATGTTTACCTAAAAATGTCCGTGTATGTTTTGATGCTCTCTGAAGTGACATCAGAAAATGTTCGTACTAACCATGTAAAACATCGAAAAATCTGGGGGTAAAGTAAAAATTTGCCGATTTTTTTTATGCGACGTAAAAAAAACTCGATAGAATAAACGGACCGGTAGAGGCAGGATGGTGTCAATTAGCGTACGTGCTATGCATGTTTTTCGAAGTAATGACGTTTCGAAGTAATGACTTTTCGAAGGAATGACTTTTCGAAGAAATGACTTTTCGAAGAAATGACTTTTCGAAGTAATGACTTTTCGAAGTAATGACTTTTCGAAGAAATGACTTTTCGAAGTAATGACTTTTCGAAGTAATGACTTTCGAAGTGATGACTTTTCGCAGTAATGACTTTCGAAGTAATGATTTTCGACGTAATGATTTTCGAAGTAATGACTGGCAGCCCTTTGGATCCACTTCCGTCTGTCTGTCCGGAGGATATCTTGATAGGGGATGCGTTTTAAGGTATGTATGATACGTCATTAGGTGCGCAATGGCCTGGAGATGACTGCACGCATTTTAGATTCAACCAAATCACCTATTTTCGACATTCAATTTAAGTTTTGTTGAAAACTTCTTTGTTAAGAATAATTAGCATAGACCGGAACTTGGGATTCGACTATATAAATGGACAGGAGAGGTTGTTTTTCATTTTTTGTCATCCGAATTTAGGACAATTATGCAAAGTGAAGGATAGAATGGGGTCAGACGGGGCCAGGGTTGAAAAGTCGCGAAGCGGCTTTTCAACCCTGGTTTGATCTTTAAAATACGTGCGGTGGCGAAAATTAACGTCCAAGGCGCCTGAAACTCAACATTATCGGGGGTCGCACCGTCGCCAACTCGGATTAAGCTTATTTTTGCCGCTATGCCGAATTCTCGCTATACCGAATGTTCACTATATCGAATTTTCGCCATAACGAATTCGCTATGCCGAATTTTTGCTATCCCAAATTTTCACCATGCGGAATTTTTTCATTTTCACATTATATACATACATTAGACACATACACTCACCATTTGCACAAAATTCGGCATAGCGAAAATCGGCATAGCGAAAATTCAGCATAGCGAAGATCGGCAGAGCAAAAATCGGCATAGCGAAAATCCGGCATAGTCAAATTTCCGCATAGCAAAATTCGGGGGTGCTTCCAAGTTAACGGGGGGCGGTTATTTTAGCGGGGGGGCGGCGGTTCCCAATTTTTCTTTATTTAGCCTAAACCTGCCTGGTGATAAATTGTAGTTTATTTTAATAAACTTTTTGGTGGTTTCTGATAATCAAAAATCATAAAAACATAATCCTAAAATCACGAAATCTAAAGTAATAGCACGTTTTTTATCATTTCATACACGTTAGACAGAAAAAGTTTTCAAGATGTTTTATGACGTTTTTCTTAATTTACCAGGGTTGAAAAACCGCTTCGCGGCTTTTCAACCCTGGCCCCGTCCAGGACCTGTGAAAGTCCTTAATTTGCATGTTTCTTCCTGAATTCTAGCAAGAAAAAAAATGAAAAACGGCTCCTCTTTCCCTTTATATAGGCTCTTCCTACTTCCGGCGCAGGCTAATTTCCCCTAACAAACAGGGTTTTACAAAAAACCTATTTTTAATAGCGAAAACCGCAATTTTTCAAAATTTTTATGTGTGTGCAGTCGATTCCGGACTATTCTAAACCTATTGTCGTTTCTTCCCTATCCAAAAAACCCTTCCCCGAGGCTGTAGGAGCGGAACATCCTAACGGAAGTGCATGCAAATATACACACACACACACACAAACACTATTTTTTTATATATAGTAGGATCCTCCGCCGCTAACAGTCCAGAACCATTTCAAACGGCGCACAAGTTTATAAAACAGTCAGCTTCTAATTAGTAAGCCCGCGCGATCTACTGTAAAAATTTTGCTGTGGTGTCTGTCTGTCTGTCCGTGTGTGTGAAGCCGAATTCAACTCGAAGGGGAAAGGAGCTAGAGCTTAGGTCTCTTCGGATTCAGATCGAGCGTGGTCAAAAAAACCCCAAACTGATAAAAAAATTACGAAAAAGTTTTCGTTTACATTATTATAATTAAATTTGAAAGTTTTTCCTTAGTAAAAGGAGTGGGGGACGGAGGTTGGGGTGATTTTGGACATAGTGAGCCAGGTTGCGCGCGTTTCGTGGATGAAAATTTCCACGGGAGCCATTTCATTTCTTTTTCTCCCACGCATCCGGTCGGTTGTTATTTTTATTTTTTTAAAGGGATTTCGGCTAGGGGCGGTATCTGTAGCCATTAGCGGGGGTATTTTGGGAGAGGTGATGGATGTGATGGTGTATGACATGAAGGGTAGCCCGAAGGCCAGATGGTTACGGTCGCGAAGCGACTGGAACCATCTGGTTTTATAGAACCCCCGCGCCCAAAACCCGCTTCGCGGGCCTTGGGCGCTGGAATGCTGCCTTTGCATGAAAAATTTGACTTTCCGATAGCTTGGGTCCTTCGGACCCCTCCCTTCCTCCGACCACACCCGCGCGTGCAACTTGCAAGAATGAGGAAATTTGTATTTTTTGGAATTATGCAAAGTAGCCCGCCCTGGCGCCAGACACACACACACAGACAGAGATACGCGACCAAATTATATAAGGTAGGAAAGTTCGCAACCGCCAAAACAACCGCCCCCCCGATAACCTGAAAGCACCAAATTCGGTATAGCGAAAATTCGGCATAGCCCGCGAGCGTTTTCCGAATTTGGAGATCGTGCACTTGCCCTTATGCCCTGGGCCTCGCTTATGTCGAACAATGATTGAATGACATCTTAGGTCGGAGAAGTTATCAATGAACTAGCCGAGTACCTCCCGACGGCGATTTCCAATAAGGAAGAGCAATTCACCGTCTATGCCTGCGTCCTCCTGTTTTTCCAGGTAGCTTTTGTTGTTTAGACTGCAACCCGAAAGTTGTCACGAACTTTGCGCCGCGTGCTTTTGCGCCTCGAAGTTTTCGGCGCGATCCGTAGGCTTGGGCCAAAGAGGGGACGTAGTGTAACTCTAGTTTTGAGTCGAAAGTATCAGGTTAGAACGAAAGTTGTGTCCGATTTTGATGATCTCAACATCTATCGATATCTACTCCTCGAGGGCTATCGATTGGTGTTAAAGGTATTGTATGCAAATGCCTGTATGCAGAGATATCTTACTATCCTACTATATATAAAAAAAATAGTGTCTGTGTGTGTGTGTGTGCCACTTTGCATTCACTTCCGTCTGTCTGTCCGGAGGATATCTCAAGAAGGGACGGGTATTAGGCTACGTATGATACGTCATTAGGTGCGTAATCGTCTAGGGATGACTGCACACATATCAGATTTTTAAAAATTAGCCATTTTCGCTATTAAATTTAGGTTTTTGTAAAAACCTCTTTGTTAGAAATAATTAGCATAGACCGGAAGTGGGCGGTTGTCTATATAAAGAGGCAGAAGGGGTTGTTTTTCATTTTTTTTTTCTTCTGAATGAAGGACAAGTATGCAAAGGGAAGAATAGTATGGGGCCCGAGACGGGGCCAGGGTTGAAAAGTCGCGAAGCGGCTTTTCAACCCTGGTATATATAAAAAAATAGTGTCTGTCTGTGTGTGTGTGTGTGTGTGTGCCACTTTGCATGCAACTTCCGTCAGGTTGTTCCAATCTTAAGAAGAAGAGTAGTTAGGGGGGCCTGTTTGATACGTCATTAGGAGCGTAATGGTCTGGAGATGACTGCACGCATATCAGATATATCAAAATCCCTTATTTTCGGCATTAAATTTTAGTTTTTGTTGAAAAATCCGAGACCCTCTTTGTTAGGAATCAATTAGCATACACCGGAAGTGGCATCAAAGGAACAGAACGCGCATTTTTCATTTTTTCATCCTCGGTGGGGCAAAATTATGAAAAATGAAGAACATTATAGGATGAGACGGGGCCAGGCTTAGGCTTAGGGGGGCCCTGCCATATCGCCAAAATTTTGCATCGCGTTCAGAATTGAATTCTCTATCGAATGAGCTATCTTTCGAGCCGTTTCCCGGATCACTCGAAAAAAACACTCCTTATCAGCCCTGGCATTACCCAATAAACGGTGACTTCTGTCAGAAGCGTCTCCTTGTGAGCCAGTATTTTTCTTAGGCGCACCTGAAGGCCCGACACGGCAAGGAAATCCAGCGCTTCCTGGACCGGCTGATGGGGGGTCCGCGGTTCTGAGGGCACCGGCACGCTTGCTGGACCCTCTGGCTTCGGACAACATCGTCTCCGTTTTCGCGTGGATGATGCTGCACCCGTCGCCGAGTTACTTCTACGTCTCCTCCTGTGATTGATCATGGGGTTGCTTGTTTGTGTGATTCTATTGTCTTGTATAACGAGGAATAAAGGCATTTTGCAGGATCCGATTCTTTACATACCAGATGGTTATAGTCGCTTCGCGACTGTAACCATCTGGCCTTAGGGCTACCCTACATGTCCTACACCACCACGTCCTTCACTACTTCCATCAACGCCCACGCTAACGGCTTCAGCAGATATCCCCCCCATAGCTAAAACGCCTTTCAAAAAATACTTACTACAAAAAATACTTAAAAGTCCGACACGCCATAGGGACCCCGCGAGAAATGTATTCTAAGCGCACCCCATCCCGCGATAGCTCCGTATATGGGTGTCAGTCGTACTAATGTGAAGCAGAATTGACGAGAGTAATATGGTAGAAGAGAAGAAGTACTTAGGGGTATGTTCGATACGTCATTATGTGCGTAATGGGCTGGAGATGACTGCACACATAGTAGATTTTACAAAATATGCTGTTTTCTACAATAAAATTAAGTTTTTCATGGAAAATCGGACGCCCCACTTTGTTAGGATCAAATTAGCATGTACCGGAAGTCGCGGTAGTCTATATACAGGGACGGCGAGAGGATTTCTCATTTTTCGTCATCCGAATCCGCGAAAATTATGCAAAGCCAAGAATATCATGGGCGCAGACGGGGCCAGGGTTGAAAAGTCGCGAAGCGGCTTTTCAAGTATAATCCTAATCCTACTATATATAAAAAAAACAGTGTTTGTGTGTGTGTGTCTGTGCCACTTTGCATGTAACTTCCGTCATTCTGTCCGGAGGATATCTCATGAGGGGAAGGGTATTAGGCTACGTGCGATACGGCATTAGGTGAGTAATGGCCCTGAGACGACTGCACGCAGATCAGATTTATCAAAATTGCCTATTTTCGACATCCTACTATATATAAAAAAATAGTGTCTGTGTGTGTGTGCCACTTTGCATCCACTTCCGTATCGTTGTTCCAGTAGTATCTCCATAGGGGAAGAAGTTAGTGGTGAGTACGATATGTCATTAGGTGCGTAATGGTCTAGGGATGACTGCACACATATCAGATTTATAAAAATCAGCCATTTTCGATATCAAATTTAAGTTTTTGTAAAACCCTCTTCGCTAGGAACAAATTAGCATTGACCGGAAGTGGGTAGTCGCCTATATAAAGGGTCAGAAGCGAATTATTTTCATTTTTGACATCGGAATTCAGCGCAATTATGCAGAGCGTAGAACAGCATGCGGTCCAAGACGGGGCCAGGGTTGAAAAGTCGCGAAGCGGCTTTTCAACCCTGGTTAAAATTAAGTTTTTGTTCGAAAATCGGCGATCCTCTTTGTTAGGAAAAAATTAGCATGCGCCGGAAATTCCGGTAACCTATATAATGGGCTAGCGAGCGCGGTTTTCATTTTTGTCATCGGAAATCCAAGAATTATGCAAAGTGAAGTATATCATGCGATCAGACGGGGCCAGGGTTGAAAAGTCGCGAAGCGGCTTTCAGCCCTGGTCTAATATAAAAAAATAGTGTTTGTGTGTGTGTGTGTGTGTGTGTGTGTGTGTGTGTGTGTGTGTGTGTGTGTGTGTGTGTGTGTGTGTGTGTGTGTGTGTGTGTGTGTGTGTGTGTGTGTGTGTGTGTGTGTGTGTGTGTGTGTGTGTGTGTGTGTGTGTGTGTGTGTGTGTGTGTGTGTGTGTGTGTGTGTGTGTGTGTGTGTGTGTGTGTGTGTGTGTGTGTGTGTGTGTGTGTGTGTGTGTGTGTGTGTGTGTGTGTGTGTGTGTGTGTGTGTGTGTGTGTGTGTGTGTGTGTGTGTGTGTGTGTGTGTGTGTGTGTGTGTGTGTGTGTGTGTGTGTGTGTGTGTGTGTGTGTGTGTGTGTGTGTGTGTGTGTGTGTGTGTGTGTGTGTGTGTGTGTGTGTGTGTGTGTGTGTGTGTGTGTGTGTGTGTGTGTGTGTGTGTGTGTGTGTGTGTGTGTGTGTGTGTGTGTGTGTGTGTGTGTGTGTGTGTGTGTGTGTGTGTGTGTGTGTGTGTGTGTGTGTGTGTGTGTGTGTGTGTGTGTGTGTGTGTGTGTGTGTGTGTGTGCCACTTTGCATCCACTTCCGTCTGTCTGTCCGGAGGATATCTCAAGAAGGGACGGGTATTAGGCTACGTATGATACGTCATTAGGTGCGTAATGGTCTAGGGATGACTGCACACATATCAGATTTTTAAAAATTAGCCATTTTCGCTGTTAAATTTAGGTTTTTGTAAAAATCACTTTGTTAGGAATAATTAGCATAGACCGGAAGTGGGCGGTCGTCTATATAAAGAGGCAGAAGGGGTTGTTTTTCATTTTTTTTGCCTTCTGGATGAAGGACAATTATGCAAAGGGCGGAATAGCATGGGGTCCAAGACGGGGCCAGGGTTGAAAATATAATAGACATCAAGTAAAATAATATTACTTGATTTACTTGATCTTGATTGATTTGGGAGAATTACTTGATTTTCAGCGAAATTACTTGATTTTGTGCAAATTCGCAATGCAAATCAGGCAATCGTGCCGCGAACCCAGTAAATTAGCATGCGATCATGTCATAAAGTTCATTACCATCGGAAAAATGCCAGAATTCCAGAAAGCTATTGTTTGATCAAGTAAATCAAGTAATCTTACTTGGCTCTTTCTCGAGCGGAGTCAAATAATATTATTTTACTTGGTCATGCGCTCAGTCCCATCCAAATAACATAATATTGTGCCAATGTATGCAAATAATCTTGATTGTTAATTGATTCTTAACATCTCTACACACAAACACTATCGTCACCGTTTTATTTAGCAGATTCTTGTCAGGGATTCGGAGTCCCGTGTCCGATTCTATCGGATCCACTGTCTCCCGTGTCGAAATCCGACGGTCAGGTTTCCTATTAAATAGGTTTTGTAACCCTAACGTTTCTTCCCTACCAAAAAAATGCTTCCCTGCGGCTGTAGGTGCGGAACATCCAAACGGAAGTGCATGCAAATATACACACACACAAACACTATTTTTTTTTATATATAGTAGGACAAGAAGGGGCTGGAATCGACTGCACGCACATAAAAACTTTGAAAAGTTGTTATTTTCGCTATTAAAATTTGGTTGTTGTAAAAATCTTGGCTCGCCTCTTTGTTAGGGAGAAATTAGCATATGCCGGAAGTGAAGGTGGCTTATAAAAAGGAAGGGAGGACGTAGTTTTCATTTTTTTGTGTTCGGTTTTCGGCAACAATTATGCAAAGTCAATACTTTCATAGGTACTAGAAGGGGCCAGCGTTGAAAAGCCGCGAAGCGAATTTTATATATAGAGTTTTATATAAAACAAAATAGTGTTTGTGTGTGTATATTTGCATACACTTCCGTTTGGATGTTCCGCACCATTTTTTTAGCTAATCTTTACTATTTCCGCAGTTATAGAGATTACTCTATTTATCTACACAGTTTAAACAAAAAAAAACAGGGTAAGAAGGGTACCGTGGAACTCTTGCAAAACTATTCGAACCAGGGTTGAAAAGCCGCTTCGCGACTTTTCAACCCTGGCCACGTCTAACCCTATGATGTTCGTCGTTTTGCATAATTGTGCCCCAATTCCGATGGCAAAAAAAAATGAAAAATGCTTCCTTTGGGCCTTTATATAGGCTAATGCAACTTCCGGCGTATGCTAATTTTATCCTAACAAAGTGGGTGGCCGAATTTTTACAAAAAAAAACTTAATTTTAATGTCGAAAACAACATATTTTACAAAAACTGATATGTGTGCAGTCATCTCCAGCCCCTTACGCATCTAATGACGTACCAAACACCTCCTCAAACCCATCCCCTCTCGAGATATCCTCTGGACACCCTGACGGAAGTTGCATGCAAATGCACACACACACAAACACTATTTTTTTTATATATAGTAGGATAGATAGGTCAGAAATCCTAGTTAGTTTCCCACCTGCGTCGATTTTTTTACACTCTGTATATCGAAAACAGCGGGCGGTATGTGTGTGTCTGTCCGTGTTCGCAAGGCCTACGTCGTGCTTTGGGGGGGGCTTTATTTCCTCAAACCGCATACAGAGAAAATAGTGGCGACGTACAATACGTGAATGTACGATACAAATAAAAAGAAATGGGGAGGTGGGGTGTATCGCAATATCGAGGAGGGAGATGCTGGGATATAGTCATGGGGGTCAGGTGGCGAGGTAGATCGTTATTGTGTTTATTTGGTAGCCGGCTTCGAGGTGGAGTCGGTGGCGGGGCTCGCGGCTGCGGCATCGGCGGTGGTGTTGGGCGGGTCGTCGAGACTTTCTGTTTCGGGCACCTCGGGTCCCCCGTCTCCTGAGCCCTCGGCCGCCTCCAGGTCGACCAGCACCGCCCCGCGAATACAAGAGAGCGCCATCAGCCAGCGATCGACGCGACGAATCAGACGGTTGTAATTTGCCAGGCGCAAGTCGTGCGCGTATGACTGAAAGAAACGTGAAGGAAGGGGGCACTTTGCAAAACCCCCGAATTCCTGTGCAGAGAAATGAAAAGCGCATTCTCTCCAACATTATATAAGCTCCTCCCACTACCGGTGTATGCTAATTGATTCTTAACAAAGAGGTTGCGCGAGATTTTTACAAAAACTTAGTTTTAATATCGAAAACAGCTGATTTTTAAAAAACTCATATGCGTGCAGTCGTGTACTTTTTCCTCTTTCGTGTACAGTCGTGCAGTCGTGTACCTTTACGCACCTAATGACATATTATAAATGGCCTTAGCTTCTTCCTTTGTTGAGATACGACTGGAACATAGGGACGGAAGTTGTATGCAAATGCACACACACGCACACACACTATTTCTTTATACAGGGTGTCCCAAAAAAAATCGACCCCCCTCTAGCGGACCGCAGAAAGCTCGGA